CGGGTTTTGTATAGAAATTGTATAGGGTTCAGGTCCGGAGTTTTGAGCGAAAGTTTTGGGCGAAAGTTTTATGTTTTGCTTGCCCTTGTAAGTTGAAAATTGTGAGGCCTCTTAAGGCCTTTGAAGCCTTGTTTAAGTTGAAATTTTGGGCCTCTGAAGGCTTTTGAAGCCTTGGTCAAGTAAGTCGACTATTTTGCAGCCAAGGGCGTTTTGGATCACTTTACTTAGATGGTTTTTGGAATTTTGTTCGGGAAGGGCTGTAAGCTCAGAATCAATCACATTACAGTTTATGTATCCGGTCGATTTTGAGGGTTTAGGTTAGGGTTAGGGTTTAGGGTGTGTTCAGGGGAGTGAGCGCGCTTCGGGTGTGACACCCCGGGCGCCGCCTCGCGTTGACCTCAACCCATACCCCGGCCACCCAAACTATACTCTACGAGGTTTTAGGGTTTATGGAATTTACTTTCTTGTGCTCTGATGCTTGCTTAAAGTTGCGCTGTTAGGGTTTAAGCTGGGGTTGGGGGGGGGCTTCGGCGTGTCAGGGCCCATAGAGGCCCTTATTTATTTGAAGGTCAGGGAAACCCTTTGTGCCTGCTCCTGGATTCCCCGTCTTTAAGGGCCTCAATTAAGTTGGTGGCTCTTGGGGCCTTTTGGGGGCTTCCTGGGGGCTTTCCTGGCCTTTTCGGGGTAAAATGAAGGAAAAAACCACCGATTTCAGTACCAAAAAATCGCATTTTTCATTGCGGGTACGGGCATCCTGGGGTCCCCCTTCTTTTAGGGGGCCTTTTGAAGCCTTTTGAAGCATTTTGGTGGCTCTTGGGGTCTCTCGGGGCCTTGTTCGGACCTTCGGCGTGTCAGGGGCCGTAGAGGCTTTATTCATTTGAAGGTCCGGGAACCTATTAATTTTTTTTTGCCAATGAGTATTTCAATCGCTGGGGTTTAAGCTGGGGTTCGGGGTAGCCTCGGCCCTTTTCGGGCCTTCGGCAAGTTAGGGCCCGTAGAGGCCCTTATTTGCTTGAAGGCCTTCGCAGGGTTTTGCGGTGTTAGGGTTTAAGCTGGGGTTCGGGGTAGCCTCGGCCCTTTTCGGGCCTTCGGCACGTTAGGGCCCGTAGAGGCCCTTATTTGCTTGAAGGCCTTCGCAGGGTTTTGCGGTGTTAGGGTTTAAGCTGGGGTTTGGGGTAGCCGGGTAGCCTCGGCCCTTTTCGGGCCTTCGGCACGTCAGGGCCCGTAGAGGCCCTTGCTGATTTGGGGGCTTCCTGGGGCTTTCCTGGTCCTTTTGGGGTGAAATGGAGGGGTGCCCAAAGCCATCGATTTCAGTACTAAAAAAATAACATTTTTCCTTGCGGGCAGGGGTGCCTAAAACCATCGTTTTCAATATTCAAAAATCGCATTTTTCATTGTGGGCACGGACAAATCTTGTGGTCCCCTTCTTTAAGTGGGCCGTTTGAAGCTTTTGAAGCCTTTTGGTGGCTCTTGGCGCCTCTTGGGGGCTTCCTGGGCTTTCCTGCCGCTTCTTGTGTAAAATGGAGGGGTGCGCAAAACCATTGATTCCCTGCAAGGGCGTTGGCCCGGGGGCCCTTGGTTCGCGGGGCCTGGGGGGGTGTTTGGCCTTGGCCCGGGAGGGGCCCTTGGCCAGGGCCCTTGGGTGGGGGGCGGAGCGGTGCTTGGTCTGGGGCGTTTGGGGGGGGTTGGTCAGGCCGCCCTTGGCCCGGGGCCTTGGCCCGGGAGAGAGTTCGAAGGGCCCTTTGGCGGGGCCGTTGGCCCGGAGGACCCTTGGCCCGAAAGCCCCGCGTTTTGAATCACGAAATTGAGCAACCAGCCTGTCTGAACCCCTCGCCAGCCTCCTGGTCCAGGAATCCAGCTACCAGGGGCCAGGGGGCCCCCCGGGGGGGGGGGGGGCCCGGCAAACCCTGAACCCAAAACCCTGAATCAAGGGTTACGATTTGGGGTTATACTTTAGCTACGCTAAAGGTGGTCTGGGTGCCGGCCATCCCTTTGTCGTAAAAAAGGCCGATGTCCGTTGGCCTGTCCAGGACAGACGGTGAGGCTTAACCCTCACCTTTCCGTTTCTCTTTTCGCTTGGGGATCGGGCTGTAAGGCCCTCGGCCGAGCGTTCGGGGTCTGTCGCTCGACGGAAGCGACCCCTCACTTAGTTTAGGGTTTAGGGGTTTAGGGTTTAGGGTTTCGGTTTTGGGTTTAGGTTCGACCCTCCACCCCCCCACCCCAACCCCCGCCCCTGTGCCCCACCCACCACCCACCCACATCGCCAACTCGACCCGGCGGTGTGGGTCCCTTCCTCTTCTTGCTGGCGCTATCCTGCATGTATTCCGCGTCCACTCGCTGCTGCCGTGGTTTCAGGGGCTTCAGGCACACTTTCGCCACGGGTGTGCGCATGAACTGCTTGTCCTCTCGGCAGTGCCTCGCAGCTGTGCAGGCCCCGGCCGGGCGGGTCGCATAGCGTCTTAAAAAAAACCTAGGGTTTAAGAGCTAAGGCCCTTTTGATTCTTCGAGTTTGCGGTTTTCGGATGTTTTCGGAAGGCGGAGAGCAGTTGCCTCACGGAGTTTTTTTTGGGGACTTCTTGGCCATGATGGGACTGTAGGCTGCGAGACCCTTACACAAGTTTCACATGGCATGTTGTGAAAGTCTCCTTTCGGTGACTCATTCTTCAGAGGAAGAACCCTACACCCTAAACCCTGAACCCTAAACCCCAAAGACCCGGGGTTGGGTGTCCTCAAATAGCCTTAGGCAACGGTCCAAGTTTCCAAAAGGCCTCAGAAGCATCTCACTGAGCCCAGATCCTGCTTAAGAAGCTTTTCTGCAGAGGGAAATCTTTTCTAAAGCCTGAACCCCAAGCACACTCGCAGACAGGCAGGCAGGCAGGCAGACAGACACACGCGTGTATATATACAAATATGTATATACAGGAACAATATCCATATTCAAACGAGTAGTATGAATAGTATTGTCTGGAACTTCTGGAATTCTAGTTACCCTTGTCCAGCCTTTCTACAAAAAATCCATAGCTCGGGTTTGGGGTGAACATCCTCAAGCCCTCCTATCGATCATGCGCAGGGATGTTCACCCTTATACTAGCAGTCCTGAATAGGGATTATAGTACCCTATTACAATCCCAATTAAGGACTGCTAGTTTCGGGGGCAGCGTCCCAAATCATGCGTGTCACCATGTCGTCTCTGTTTTGTTCCAGGGTTTAGGGTTCAGGGTTTCGGCACTCAGCTCGTTAGTTTCCAGGGTCCACTTCACCTTGGCAAGCCCCTCCCAACAATAAGCCTTCAAATGACCCAAAAAACTTCCTAAGGACAGGCCTTCAGGGCCCCAACAGTCCTCCAGGGTCGCCTACCCCCCCCCCTCACCCCAAACCCTAGACCCGCAAAAGAAAGAGGCCCCAGAAAGTCACCAAGAGGCCACACAAGAGGCCAGGAGACTCCACAAGGTGCCAAAAGGCAATGACACTCAAAAGCAAGAGAAAAAAGAAGAACAGACAAAACCACCCCAAAACCACCCCAAAACCACCCCAAAACCTCCCCAAACCAACCAAGAGTCCCTACGCGAAGTTTGCAACAAAAAACCAAAGGCAACAAAAGACACCCGAAACCCTCCAAAACCCGACAAAATTCCGGACACAAACCCCATACAACTTGCACAAACCCTGGCCCCTCCCCCTGCACTAACCCAGGCCAGCAGCACAGGACCTGCACCTCGCTGGGCCTGAGTCGTCCAGCGAACCTGTCCAGCCCTTCTGTGTTGAGGGCTTGGGATTTGGGGGATTTCGAAAGTAGGAGTACCTTATTGGGGTCCTTATAAGGGGATCCTACTATTTGGGGGTCTATACTCAGGGTCCCATATCTTCGTTCACTCCCATGTGGGTTTAGGGTTGAGGGTTTAGGGCTATCTAACCGTCCTTGATAGGGATTGTAGCACCCTTTTATGGAACATCCCAAAGCTTAATTATTCAACAGGTCTTGTGAAGTCACCATCCATCTCCATCTGGCATCACAAGCTGCGGCTACCAACAGCCCTCTAATTATCTGAGACAGCCCTCACCTTAAACCCTAAACCCCACTGCCTCTCCGAATAGTCCGCAATCGCACGGAAAGCAGCTGGGTGGTTGAGGCACGCTGTCGCAAATGCCCAGGCAAACCCAACGACATCTTCCTTGCAGCGCGTGGTTCCAGGTTTGGGTTTAGGGTTTAGGGTTTAGGGTTTAGGGTTTAGGGTTTAGGGTTTAGGGTTTAGGGTTTAGGGTTTAGGGTTTAGGGTTTAGGGTTTAGGGTTTAGGGTTTAGGGTTTAGGGTTTAGGGTTTAGGGTTTAGGGTTTAGGGTTTAGGGTTTAGGGTTTAGGGTTTAGGGTTTAGGGTTTAGGGTTTAGGGTGTAGGGTGTAGGGTGTAGGGTTTAGGGTTTAGGGTTTAGGGTTTAGGGTTTAGGGTTTAGGGTTTAGGGTTTAGGGTTTAGGGTCCCGGAGTTGGCAGCACTGGCACGTCGGAAAAGGGCCGGAGCCCTGCCCAATCCCCAAAGACTAAATCCCTAAACGGCCCTAAACCATGAATCCCATGACCTGAACCCGACAAACCACAAATCCCATGACCTGAACCCGACAAGCCCGAAACCCTCAACCCTAACCCTAAACCCCAAACCCCAAACCCTGAATCCACCCCTCCGGAGGCTGACAGAAGTACTCCAATCTCGCCACGTCGCGGTCTCCAGCATTTCCATGTTGGACCTTCAAGAGGGGTTTATGGTTTAGGGCCCTAAACCCTAAACCCTTACTATGATTTCAGGTATATTCCTCAATTCAGCCTAAACCCTTACTAAACCCTAAACCCTAAACCCTAAACCCTAAACCCTAAACCCTAAACCCTAAACCCTAAACCCTAAACCCTAAACCCTAAACCCTAAACCCTAAAATAAAGGGGATCAAGGGGGTTGAGGGGGATCCTCACATCTCTGGTGGGTTCGCAGAATTGTGATCCAAAGGCCCGGACGTGCACACCTCCGCCAGCGTCTCAAAAGTGCCCGGCGCCTGGTTAGGGCTGCGAATGCCCCGCAGGATATAGGGTTTAAGGTTTTGGGTTTAAGGTTTAGGGTTTAGGGTTTAAGGTTTAGGGTTTAGGCAAGGATATAGGGGTTGTATTTCCGGAAGTTAAGGGTTTAAGACTTCGCGTGGCGGTTAGAGCCGGCACTTCACGACCGTAAACTGAAAATCCAAATCCCTCAACCGTACAAGTCTATCCCTAAACCCTAAACCCTAAACCCTAAACCCTAAGCCAGTCCTGGATCGAGGCAGATGCAAAGGCCCAGCTCAGTTCGGCCGCGAGCGGCGCACTCAGGCGCCGCAAGGCGCTCACCTGTAAAACTTGGGTATAGGGTTTAGGGGTTTAGGGTTTAGGGGTTTAGGGTTTAGGGTTTAGGGCTTGGGCTTTTAAGTTTGAGGTTTCAAGTTTAATCAAATCAGCTTAGGATTCAACATGGGGGATTACGAATCCCCTAAGATAGTGCCCCCAAATAGTAGGATCCCCTGAAAAAAGGACCCCAAGAAGGTACCCCGAATATCGTAAACACCCACGTGAAATAAAAGCGTCAAGCCTGCTTTGCTGCAGGTTATCACTACAACACCCCTTCCAGGACCCTGAGTAAACCTGCAATCGTTTTCGTAAGGCAGGGTTACCTAGGAACTGCATACCCTAGCCCAAAAAAGGCTAACCCTATATATATATATATATATATATATAGATATATATATATATATAGTAGGATTCTGTATAACCAAGCTTAACCCCTAAACGCTACACCCACAACCCTAAAAACCCCAAATCCAGTTTCTAAGGGGTCAAGGGGGCTTCAGAGGCTTTCGGCATTGCACTGCAGTACTTCCACTGCCTCAAAGGGCCTGTGCCTTGAAAGGAGGCACCATTGCTGTGCTATCTAAGGCAACCCCAAACCCTTTTCCCTAAACCCTAAACCCTAAACCCTAAACCCTAAACCCTAAACCCTAAACCCTAAACCCTAAACCCTACACCCTAACCGACAACTGCTGCTTCTCCCCCAAGCCCTGAAACCACGGTTCGGGTTTGCCGAGCTCCCGAGGTGCACGAGAGACCTAGAACTTCCCAACAAGGGAAGTCTAGGGTTTAGGGTTTAGGGTTTGGGGTTTAGGGTTTAGGGTTTAGGGCTTAGGGAAGTTGAGGGTGCCACAGGTCATGCTCGCACTACGGACGCCACGAAGGCTGGTCCTGGCCAAGATCCATGAGAAGTAGCAACGAGTGACTTGCAACGAGGCTCACACGATGTTGCCGATAAGCTCTACAAGCCATCCCTAAACCCTAAACCCTAAACCCTAAAAAGCTCCACAGAACCCTACACCCCCCACCAGAAATGGATAAGTCTGGCGGCATTCCGCTCGCCAGGCTGGTTCAGATGCATCGCCAGTCGTTCGAAGAGCTGCGTGTGAGGCATCTCCGCCGCAGTGAACCCCTCCAGGCATCGTGAAGGTGGAGTTTGGGGCGAGGGTCTTTGGGGACTTGGGGTTCAGGGTTCTTTGTAGAATCTTGACGTTACAGGGTTTAGGGTTCAGAGTTTGGGGTTCAAGGGCTTCTTATATAATTTTGAATCATTTGAAGGCTTGAGATATAGCTGTTGGGCGCCAGGGGGGGTTCAGGCTGAAACGTCCCCTAGGCTGTCGTGGGGGGACTCGGCCTCTTGCAGCTTCAGAAAGGGGTTTAGGGTTTAGGGTTTAGGGTTTAGGGGTTTAGGGTTTAGGGTTTAGGGTTTAGGGTTTAGGGTTTAGTGCTGCAGACTGCGAAACCTACACTCGAAGCCCGAAATCTTAAACCCCAAACCCTAGACCCCAAACCCTGAACCCTAACTCCTACACCTTAACCCTGACTACCCTCTTCTTCTTGGTATGAAAGGCAGCCCTTCTCGGCTTCGCATGCGCCCAACGCAAACTTCCCATTCCCAGCAAAGTGGGGAACGAAGGGGATTAGGGTTTAGGGTTGAGGGTTTAGGGTTTAGGGTTAGGTGCGAAGTCATAGCCTCCCTTAGGTTGCTAGTTTCAGGGGACTTAACCCTAAATCAAAAACCCTCAACCCTAAACTAGTCAGCAATCTCTGACGGCTGAGGCGGCTGCCCAGCAGAAGGAGGCAGCATCGTGGGCAGTAAAATCACTAAGCACCTGGCCCATGCCCAAGAGCCGCTCCGGCTTGAGGGTTTAGGGTTTAGGGTTTAGGGTTTAGGGTTTAGGGCTCGGGGTTCAGGCTTCAGGGTTTAGGGTTGAGGAGTATACGAAGTAGGGTATATATTTCTTGTACCCCCAAAAGGACACCAGGTATATACACTCACCAAGATTAAAAAGGAACCTTGTATACACTCACCAAAAACAGTCATATAAACCCTGTTTCATATAGGAGTCTTGACAGTTCAGGGCTGTGGGGATTCTGTGTATTTAGGAGCTTGGGGGGTTTGGGATTTTGGGGGTGTCTGCCTCAAGACTGGTCCGGTCCCAGCCGTTCTCACAGTCACGTCTGTGCCAGCTTCATGTGCGGCCTTCCACTCTTTGGGTTGTACGAAAGCCTACGAGTACTATTTGCTTGAGGACCCTCCTTCCCCCCCAATCCCCCCCCCCCCCCCCCACTAAAATGATCCCTGCACTGTCCTTGTAAGGAGGGATACTTTTTGTTGGGGGGTGTAAACCCCGAATCCTAAACCCTAAACCCTAAACCTCAAGTCCTAAACCCTAAACCCTAAACCCTAAACCCCAAACCCTAAACCCTAAACCCCGAACCCTAACCCTCTCCCACCTCGACCGATCGCTGTGCCAGAAGCTGATAGAGCCCCGGGTCGTGATGTCGGGCACGAGCAAAGGCCCATGCGACTCCTACACATGTGGGCATGTTCGAAATAGGGTTTAGGGTTTAGGGTTTCTGAGTCTTGGGTTTAGGGTTTAGGGTTTAGGGTTTAGGGTTTAGGGTTTAGGGTTTAGGGTTTAGGGTTTAGGGTTCCCATGAACGCTTGTGGCAGCATGTCTTGTTGCAGAAACGCCGTGGTAACCAACCCCGACCCCCCCAACCGAAACAAATCCACACTGTTGTTCAACGGAACGGCACCCGGAACAACACGCACCTACTTCAGGGCGTCGCAAAGCTGTGAAAAACTCGTAGTGTGGTTCGTAGTCGTAGTCGTAGTGCTTGTACTAAAATAAGCAAATAATGGTAATAGAAATAGTAGTATAATAGTCATTTATTGCTAGTTCTTGAAATGCGCTCTTGCAAGACTCTCTTGTTGCCATTTACAAGGCTCGATCGGGGTAGATCGACGCTGCAAGTGTATTGGGACAACCCGAAAACTGCCATAAGAGCAGTCCCTAAACCCTAAACCCTAAACCCTAAGCCCTGAACCCCGAACCCTAAAACACTAAACCCTAAACCCTAAACCCTGAACCCTAAACCCTGAACCCTGAACCCTGAACCCTAAAACGCTAAACCCTGAACCCTGAACCCTAAAACCTAAAACCTAAACCCTAAACCCTAAACCCTGAACCCTAAACCCTAAACCCTAAACCCTAAACCCTAAACCCTAAACCCTAAACCCTAAACCCTAACGCAGCCTAATCTTCAGCACTCCTGCGAGGCTTCGCGGTGGCAGCTCGTGCACCACGGCGCGCGTCTCGGCCGACGCCGCCTCGAAGACAGCTGGGGAGGCCTGGTCGGTCGCGGCAAAGGCCCAGCAGATCATGGACACATCCTGGGTCGACTTGTAACCGTAATGATAAGGGTTTAGGGTTTAGGGTTTAGGGTTTAGGGTTTAGGGTTGAGGGTTTAGGGTAACCCTAAACCCTTTTTGGGGCTGGCTACTTTATAAGGGAACCAATCCTTGAACCAAAAAAAGTGGGCAAAAGGATACCACTGGGCGACCAAGCATCCACGAAGCGGGCTCCTGGGATGTTCCTCACCGCAGGTTCTGCCTCCGCTTTGAGGTGGCGAGAGAGCCCAAGGGTTTAGGGTTTAGGGTTTAGGGTTTAGGGTTTAGGGTTTAGGGCTTAGGGCTTAGGGTTTAGGGTTTGGGTTTAAGGGGGCCTCATGGCTCCTAAACCTGAAACCGCCCCCAGGCTCCCAGTAACAGGGTGCCGCTGCCCGAAACCCTAAACCCTAAAACCCCTAAACCCCGAAAACCACTAAACCCTAAAACCCCCAAACCCCGAAAACCCCAAACCCCCAACCCCGAAACCTTAACCCCTAAACCCCAAACCCCAAAACCCTAAACCCCTAAACCCCAAACCCTAAACCCTAAAAAACCCAAAACCTAACCCCCAAACCCCCAAACCCAAACCCCCAAACCCCCCAAAAAACCCAGACATGCAAGGCAGGGCTCCATGGCTTGCCAAAAGCTCCTAGCCGGAGGCTCCTCCAGGGTCTGTGGGGGTTGCAGGACTTTAGGGGTTTTTAGGTTTTTTTTGTTGTTTTTAAGGTTTTTGTATGGGTTTCTAGGGGGTGTTAGGGGTTTTTAGGGGCCTTGAGGGGTTTAGGGGTTTGGGGTTTAGGGCTCCCCCAACCCTAAACCCTAAACCCTAAGGTTCAGTTTTTGTTTTTTCAGTTTAGGGTTTAGGTTCAGGTTTCTAAGGTTTATGTCTCAGGGCTTAGGGTTCAAGGGTCAGGAAAACCCTGACTACGCCCAGTTTGGGTGGTAGTCGGAGGCTCCTCTACGAAGCGAAGCTTTGCAAAGGCCCAGCAAGCTTTGGCAACATCCGTCGCGCCGAACCTTTGGTGTTTCGGGTTAGGGGCTTAGGGTTTAGGGCTTCGGGTTTCGGGCTTAGGGTTTAGGATTAGGTTTCCAGGTTCAAGGACTGAAGAGGCATACAGGTTTAAGGGTTTGGGTGCTTCGGGTTTAGGGGGTTTAGGCTGAAGGGGTTTAGAGGTTTAGGGGCTTAGGGGGGTTTGATAGGTTTCAGGGTTTGACGTATGCAGTGGTGTTTGGGTGTGAGCGTTTAGCAGTTTAGGGGCAAGGGTTTGAAGACATGGATCTTCAGTAAGGGCTTAGGGGCTTAAGGGTTGTTGAAGCCTTCAGGATGTAATCAAGGGGCTTAGGGCCTTTAAAGGTGCGGATGTGTTGGCAACATGTTGGTTTACGAACATGGGGGACCCCTAAACCCAAACAGAAGGATTCCAATATAAAGAGGACCCCAACAAGGCACCCCAATTGCGGAAACCAGCACACATGTTTGCACTTTCGGTTTGGTTCACTCTGCGTGGCTTCGGAGGTTTTTCACTCCCCTAAACCCTAAAACCTACAAACCCTAAACCCTAAACCCTAATTACAAACCCTACATACCCTACATCGTATTGAGGAGACAACTTCAGGAGGGAACTCTGCCGTGGAGTGCCTCATATGCGGCTTCTAGAAGGGGCATGTGAGAGACAGAGAAAAAAAACGAGAGAGATAGAGAGAGAGGGAGAGCCCAAGGGGTTTCGGGTTCAGGGTTTCAGGGAGATTAAATGTAAGAAACTGCCTGGCGTGGGCATACAACCTACAAAACCCTACAGCCCAAACTCTACGACCCTAAGCCTGAGCCCTCCATCCTACACCCCGAAGCCCGAAGCACCCGCCACTCCAACCCTAAACCCTAAACCCTAAAACCCTAAACCCTAAATCCTAAGCCCTAAACCCTAAACCCTAAACCTAAACCCTATAGGGTTCAAAACCCTGCTTCGTCCCAAGGAACCTAGAGGCTCTTCGAACGCTAGCCTCGGCGAGAGGAGCCAAAAACCTGCAGCTCCAGTGATCTGAGACCCTTCAGGGTTTAGGGTTTAGGGTTTAGGGTTTAGGGTTTAAGGTTTAGGGTGTAGGGTTAAGGCAAGAAATTAGGGCATTTCGGGGTTTAGGACGCAGGGCTGAGGGCTCAGGTAAGGGCTTAGGGCATTTAGGGGTTTGGAATTTATGGCTTACGGTTTAGGCAGGGCTTCGGGTACTAAGATTGTTTGGTCTTAGGACTTAGGTTTTATAGCCACACCTCTAGGGAAGTAGCACCTTGCATTATAGGAAGAATAGGGACCCAATGCTCTACTTCCGTGTTTGTAGGGTTTAGGGTTTAGGGTTTAGGGTTTAGGGTTTAGGGTCTAGGGTTTAGGGTTTAGGGTTTAGGGTTTAGGGTCTAGGTTTTAGGGTTTAGGGTTTAGGCTTTGAGGATCCAGAAGCTTAGGGTTGATTAGGCTTTGGGGCTTTGGGGGTTCAGACTTCAGTCGTTGGGGCTCAGGAACTTGAGGTTCAGGGTTCAAGGTTAAGGGTTTAGGGCTTAGGGTCTCTTATCGTTTCACAAACAGTATCTCCAATTCCCGGAGTCCGCCCGATGGTCTCCTCTTTCAGGGCTCGGGGTTGGGAGGGTTTAGGGTTTAGGGATTAGGGTTTATTCAGGGTTTAGGGTTTAGGGTTTAGGGTTTAGGGGATTGGGGATTAGGGTGCAGTCAGGGTTCACCATAGATAGAGCAGCCTTCACCTTGCAAAGAAGAGCAGACAGACCCGACCAAGCAACTTACCGTCTGGGCATGAAAAGGTACCCTAAACCTAAACCCCAAAAACCCGAAACCCTTAACCCCCAACCCTAAACCCCAAACCCCAAACCCTAAACCCACAAAACCCTAAACTCTAAACACGAAAACCCTAAACCCTAAACCCTACCGTACTCTAGAGGGGCTCAGCCTGTCGTCGCCAAAGACCAACTTGGCTGCAGCGTAGGCGGTCATGGACAGGCCACGCGGCTCGAGGAAGTCCGCCTTTTACGGTTTAGGGCTTGGGGTTTAGGGTTTGGGTTTTCGGGTTTGGGGTTTAGGGTTTGGGGTTTGGGGTTTGGGATTTAGGGCTTGAGGTTTAGGCGTTGGGGTTTAGGTTTGGGGTTTAGGGCTTGGGGTTGAGGGTTTAGGGCTTCGGATTTTGGGGTCGAGAGGTTTAGGGGTTAAGCTGAGGAAGTAAGAGTCACCTCCTTCCAGCGTCCTCCTCGTTACCCCGTGCACCCCAACCTCTGAAATCTCGAGCCACCTGCAAAGTAGCGGCCCAAAATGGTGGGCAAAATGCTTGAAATCTTCCTTTGGTCGGTTTGTGAATTTGAAACCATGAAGAAATCCTCCCCTACACCCCCAGAACCCAAGACCATAAGGCTAAACCCGACGGGTTTAGGATTCAGGGTTTCGGGTTTCGGGTTTAGGGTTTAGGATTCAGGATTCAGGGTTTGGGGCTAGTGTGGCAAAGCCGCCGTCTCCAGCAAGCGCTCGAGGAGTCCCGGCCACGCCGAGTGCGTGTCACAGCCGTCCTCACTCAAGCTGGCGCAGGGTTAATGCGTAGGGTTGTCAGGGGTTTAGGATTTCAGGGATTCAGGTTTTATGAAATCAGGGGGTTTAGGGTTTAGGGGTTACCCCAAACCCTAAAACCCTAAACCCTGAAACCTAATACCCTGAAACCTGAAACCCTAAACCCAAAACCCAAAACCCAAAACCCTAAACCCTCAACCCTAAACCCTAAACCCTAAACCCTCAACCCTAAACCCTAAACCCTAAACCCTCAACTCAGAAGGCCCTCCTCGAACTTGGCGGCGCTGGTGAAGGCCACCACCAGGTTGCCGATGTCGAAGCGCGCGAGCTCGCGCGCCACAAGCTGCATCCTTGGGTGTTTTTTTTGTTTTTTTTTTATTGTTATAATAAGAATAATAATCATAATAATTATTATTATCATTTACTATTATTAATATTTATTATTATTATTATTTGTTATTATTACTCTTATTATTTATTGTATTTGTTTTTTTTTTTGGGGGGGGTTGGGTTTAGGGTTTAGGGCTTAGGGTTTAGGGTTCAGGGAGTTTAGGAAGCTTAGGGAGCTTAGGGAGTTTAGGGAGCTTAGGGAGTTTAGGGAGTTTAGGGTTCAGGTCTCAGGGTTGAGGGGTCAGGGTTTATAGAAATTGTACAGGGTTTGTGTCCCAAGAGGTTTTGACCGAAACGTTTTCCGCTTTGGAAGCCAGTTTTCATGTGTCTGTGGGTGAAAGCATCCCGGCAAACAGCTGTGGACTCAAAGCAAAAGCTGAAACCACACCCTAACTACTCCTGACTCCAGACCCTACACCCCGAACCCTAAACCCTAGACCCTCAGTCCTCGACCGTACAGCCCAAATCCCAAGCTCAGCTCTTACCACAAACCTCACGACCATCAATAGAAATTGTCTGTGGATCATGTCGAACCGGGCAATTCGCTGGGTTTCTTTCCAAGCCCCATTCTCTAGATTATGGTCCCTGCTAAGGTCCTCATTAAAAGGCGGCCCCTGGTATAGGGTACGCAAAAAGGGCCAGCATTTTGAAAAACTGACAACGTATCGATCTGAATCTGAAAATATATACTTGTCTTGGTAAGCGTCGGCACCGCCCAGACTTAAGCCAGAAGCCCTAAACCCTCATCAAACCCTGTCAATCTAAACACTCAGAACCCTACTGTGATCCACAAACACCTAAAATACCCCTAACCTAACCAAAACCTAGACGCGAAGCCCCTAAACCCTAAACCCCGACAAAAGAAAAACGAAACCTCGTTGAAACCCGAAAGCCCCGGAGCCTGAAACCACCTAACTCAACCCCTGTACCAAATCCCCCAATCCCCTTTGAAAATTCAAAGTCCTGACGGTTAGGGTCTTGGGTGCGGGCCGAAAAACGCCCTCTGCCTTGGGATGTTCCCCCGTATATTAACAGTCCTTAATTGACAGGGATCACAGTACCCCCTGTTATAATCCCCGATTAAGGACTGTTAGTATAAGGAGGAACACCCCAACTTATGCCCTACAAGAAGCCTTAAACCCCGAACAACCCCCTCAGCTCCAAAGACTAAAACCCTCACAGCTTTGCTTGAAACCCTTGGAGAGCTAATTTTCGAAAAGGCGCCCTTTCAAGGCAAAAAGGGGAAAACAAAGCATCCCAAAGCACAGCCCAATTAAGCCCTCAACCCCCCCCCCCCACGCCAAAAAAAAAAAAAAACGAAAACCTCGAAACCCTAACCCCTAAACACAACCGCCCCCCCCCCCCCCCAAAAAAAAAAAAAAAAAAAAAAAAAAAAAAAAAACGAAAAAACGACGAAAGCCACCCAAAGTTCGAAGCCCGAGCATCAGCTCCTGAGGCTTCGTGGCATCGCGGAGGCGTCCGTCCAACTCCCCCGCCTCCTTTTCGGACAAAATGTCGGGTACGAGGGCTTAGAGTTAGTATTATTCTCTGGTGTTTTGATATGATGATGATGATGATGATGATGATGATTTGTTACTCAGTCAGTGCGTGTGTGTGTGTGTGTGTTTTTTTTTTTTTTTTTTTTCGTGGTGCTTTGGGTTTCAAGCTTCTTGGCTTTTTGGGCTTCGGAGCTTTAAGGTTCAGGGCTTTCGGGCTTCGTGCCCTCTTGAAGCGTCTAGTAACCCTACTTTGGAGTAGACCCTGGAAAAAAGTGCATACGTTTTCGGCATAAGTAGCCAAAATTGAAACCCAGAGCCAAAAATGGCATCAAAGTATAGTAATTACTCCAAAACCAAGGTAAGTGTATCCCAATTTTCATGGACGCTCGGCTTTGAATCTGTGATGTCTCTGGGGTTGATCGGGGAACCTCACCCATTTCAAAACATGGGAAAGGGGTGTTCCATTGGAGTTCTGGCATTTCGGGCTTTTGAGCTTCATCAGCACAAGATCTGCAGACAAGCCAACCCCAAACCCTAAACCCTAACCCTGAACCCTGAACCCTAAACCCCAGGCCCTAAACCCTAAACCCTAAAACCCTACACCCTAAACCCTAAGACCTAAGCCCTAAACCCTAAACCCCAAACCCTAAACCCCAAACCCAAAACCCCAAACCCTGCCCGTCCCTAAGCGCATCCCAGATTCCCGTGGCCGCCGCCCACCGCCGGGCACGGCGTAGATGGGTGGGGCGCCTGAAGCTCTCCTCGGAGGAGTCCGAGTGTTTAGGGTTCAGGGCCTTCAGGGTTTCAAAACCCTAAACCCTAAACCCGAAACCCTAAACCCTAGCCCTAAACCCTAAACCCTCAACCCTGAACCCTAAATCCTGAACCCTAAACCCTAAGCCCTAAGCCCTAAACCCTAGACCTTAACCCTCAACCCTAAACCCCAAATGCTGAGCCAAATTTAGGAGCTGTCAGGGCCTTGGGATTTTGGGGACCTTGGCTCGTGGGATTGCTCGACTGCTCTTGGAACCTCGTTGTTCAAACTTGATTCTGGCCACTCATCTTGGCAGCCACATAACCATGTTCTGATAAGGGGGCCCTTTTTTTGGGTTGGTGACTTTATAGGGGAACCTTGAAACAGCAAGAAAGGGGAAAAGGGTACCACTGGGCTACCAAGTATTACATCTTTAGAAGCACATGTGCTTGGTATGGCTCTGGAACAAAGTGACGAGCTTGACTATGGCTTGGTAGCCTGCTAGGGTTTAGGGCTTAGGGCTTAGGGCTTAGGGCTTAGGGCTTAGGGCTTAGGGCTTAGGGCTAAGGGCTTAGGGTTTAGGGTTTAGGGTTTAGGGTTAGGGCTTCCGAGGTGCACAAAAAATGAATCATTAAGGACGTTCAGTCAACGAAGTGCTTTCACTACCTCCCACCTCCCCTCTCCGCCCAACACCTTATTCTCAACACAAACCTCACAACTCAAACACCTTGTGCGGTAAATGTGTCGTTCGTGTTGTTTCAGCTCTTTGGTGCTTCGGGCTACTCCATCCATCTTTTTCTGTTTCGGAAGGCCTGGTTTAGGGCTTCGGCCTCGTGAGCTCCCCTGAACCCTAAACCCAAAACCCTAAACCCTGTAGGGTGAAGGTACGCCTGCGAGCCAGCGTCGAGCTGGGAAAGGCGCCCGGCGCGTAGAAGGAGATCTTGGCGGGCCTTGCAGGGTTTAGGGTTTAGGGTTTAGGGTTTAGGGTTTAGGGTTTAGGGTTTAGGGTTTAGGGTTTAGGCTTTACGGCCTGGCAGGCTCTGCATGGCCATTGCCACCACTCTCGGTGCCATTGGGGCCATGTGGCGCTTGCATGCACCGGACACTCCACTTGCGGAGTCCGCGCGCCAAGCTCGGGTGTGTATACGGCCCTCAAAACTGCCTCCTACACATCAGGTTGGTGGAGCATCTACCCACATCTTGGGATGTTCCCCCTCATAGGGATTATAGTAGGGGGTACTAGAATCCCAATTAAGGACTGTTAGTACAAGGGGGGGAACATCCCAATTACACATCCTACAAGTGTTGCTCGACTCTAGTGCGCACGGTGCGAGCAGTATGGACAGAAGAGCAGGTGCGGCAACAAACGATCAGGGGAGCTCGTGGCAGCTCTCATGGTCAGTCTTCAAGCTGATAAGCCCAAGCAGGGTGCCGCACAAAGAAGCCACTGCAAACAAGCATGGTGCTGCTTCAACTTGCCACACGTAACTCGAAACCCGATACCCTTTCCACACCATACCTACTAACCCTTTTGAAACGCCCTCAAACCTGAAGGCACGGCACGTGATGCTCTATACGGACTCGAAAGAACACTCATAAAGGAGCCTAGAGCACTTGCCAACGAAACCCTAAACCCTAAACCCTAAACCCTAAACCCTAAACCTAAAACCCTAAACCTAAAACCCTAAAACCCAAAACCCTAAACCCGAATCATCCCTGTACATTTGCAGTATAAACGACCCAACAAACCCATTCGATGTAGGCCTCTAGATTCCTGAGCACTTTGAAGCCCTGAACCCTAAACCCTCCTAAACCCTAAACCCTCCTAAACCCTAAACCCGTAAACTCAACTTTTTTCGCTGCGGCTGCAAGACATGGCGTGGCTGAAGCAAGGCCGGGCTCTTTGGGTTGATTTAGGGTTTAGGGTTTGGGGTCTTGGGTCTTAGGGTTTATTTAGGGTTTTGGGTTTGGGGCTTGCAAACTCCAAAACCCTACACCCTAAACTCCTGAACCCTAAGCTCCTAAACCCTAAGCTCCTAAACTCTAAACTCCTAAACCCTACACTCCCAATTAAACCCTAAACTCCTAAATCCTACACTCTTAAACCCTGCACCCAAAACTCCTAAAACCTAAACCCCTAAACCCTAAACCCTGAACCCCAAACCCTAAACCCTAAACCCTAAACCCTAAACCCTAAACCCCTAACTCTCCGCGGCCCTCACGCCCAGAGGTAGACTCGGCCGTCGGAGCCGGCGGTGAAGAGCCAGGGCTGGTTGGGATGCCTGAGCTGAGGGTTTAGGGTTTAGGGTTTAGGGTTTAGGGTTTAGGGTTTAGGGTTTAGGGTTTAGGGTTTAGGGTTTGGGGTTTAGGGTTTAGGGTTTAGGGTTTGGGGTTTGGGGTTTGGGGTTTGGGGTTTGGGGTTTGGGGTTTGGGGTTTGGGGTTGAGGGTTTAGGGCTTAGGGGTTAGGGGGTTTAGGGGGTTTAGGGGGTGTAGGGGGTTTAGGGGGTTTAGGGGGAGGGTTTAGGGTTTAGGGCTCAGGGTTTTGGGTTTTTTGGGCTTTAGGGCCAAGGGTTTAGGGGGTTTGGGGTCTAGGGGTTCAAGGGTTTAGGCCTCGGAGGTTTGTGCTTAGGGCTTTGTTTTTCACTTAAGGTTCTGGTGATTAGGGCTTTGGAGGTTAGGGCCCGGGGTTTTGCGGGCGTTCATGGGAGTCCGAGATTTAGAGTTAGCATGTAGCACTTTAAGCATTCGGAGCCCTGACGCCCAAAAGCAAAAAACGCCTGCTGCTTCAAGGCATAGGTGCCAGGCGCAGGCAAGCACACCGAAGCCCTGTGCAGCGAGGGTCGTGGGCTGAGGGGTTTAGGGTTTTGAGCTTGCGGGTATAGGAAACCCTAAACCCTAAGCCCTAAACAGCGTAGGGTTTAGGGGTTAAGGGTTTAAGGCTGAGGGCTTATGGATTGAGGGTGCTTGATTGACAGAGCAAGCCCAGGGCTTAGGCTTAGGGCTTAGGGGTTTAGGTCCCTTAGTATAGGCCCTTAAACGTCGCCCCCTTCTAGACCCCTTTTTTCCCCTATACAACCCAAGGGCCCATACTTCAGAAAGGAGGTAAGGAACCCTTTTCAGGGCCCATCTAACTACCCTTAGAGTTTAAGGCTTGAGGGGCGTTCAGGCGTCGGATTGGGAGGCCCTGGTTCCTGTGGCTCGTGTGGTCGTAGGGGCTTTGAGAGCTTGGGCTTACGGAAATTAGGAGTTTAGAGGGGTTTCCGATGCCTACTGCGCGACGACGTTGAACCCACGGAAGATGCTGCCTAAACCCGAATCAAACCCTAAACCCTAGGCCCTAAACACCCTAAACCCTAAACCCTAAACCCTAATCCGGTGCATGGCGGGACCTGGTTGGTCATGTGGTCCCGCAGGCGCTTCACCGGCACAATCATGGGGCTTTGCATGAGGTCCGAGAAGACCTTGAGGGCCAGAAGCCCTAGGTTTAGCGTTTAGGGTTTAGGGTTTAGGGTTTCGGGTTTAGGGTTTCAGGTTTCATTCAGGGTTTCAGGATTTGAAAGGGTGTGTGGGGGTTGGGAGCTTAGGTTCGCATCACGTTTAGGGCTTCGGGGCATCCAGGGACGTGTGAGGCTTAGCACCTGTCAGGATTTCAGCGTAGCAATCTGTACATAAGGAGCTCAAGGCTGCACCCCGAAACCCGTAACACCCCTTCGAAATCCATCAACAGGAATGTCGAATGCCCCTTGAAAACGCAAAACCCTAAATCCTTAAACGACCCTGACAAACCCAGTTAATTAAGCCCTTAAGCTGAACGCACCGAAGGCTTTCAAGAACCCTGGCGTCCACAGCCCCCCCTGCCAAAGACGCAGATTCATGATTATTGAATTTTGCTTCTATCTTTACGATTATTGTTGTTCGTTCTTCTTATTTCTATTCTTGTTACATTTATTGTCTGCTTTTTTTTGGGGGGGATAGGGGGAGTGGTCAGGGGTTTTAGGGTTTGTGGCTCTGAGGTGTTAAAGTTTAGAAGGCACGATGTTAGGCCGCTTCGCTGGCGAACTCCGAAACCCCGAACTCCGAAACCCGGAAGCCCCTAAACCCTAAACCCTAAACCCTAAGCCCTAAACCCTAAACCCTAAACCCCAAACCCTAAACCCCTCCACCCCAACCGTTCTTAAACCGCACTTCCGCAGAGATCCATTTTGTAGTGGGCCCTTAGCATGATGAACAGCTACAAGTAGCATTGAGAACAAACGCAAGATTTCTCGAACCCTGAGTCTGCATGGCCCCCCCCTTTTTTGGGGTTCTGATAGTGAGGTAGTTTTTCTAGTTTCGGTTACCCAAAAAGGACCAATATCTACAAAACTGACCATATAATATACACGAAGACAACATAAAGGGTCCGTTGTGCCCCGTACCTTGGCGTGGAGGATGCTCACCGTGGCATCGTCCGAGCAGGCCGCGAGCAGGGGGAATTTCCCAGGATGGAACCTTTGGCCATTTAGGGTTTAGGGTTAGGGTTTAGGGCTTAGGGTTTAGGGTTTAGGGCTTAGGGCTTAGGGTTTAGGGTTTAGGGTTTAGAGCATTGGTTTGGGACCCTCAAGCTTATCCCCGAATCCTAACTTTTGGCCAACACTTAAGGCACTACCGCACGGTAACCTCAACCCTAAACCCTAAACCCTAAACAGTCTGGCACCCTCAAACACACTCCGGATAGCTCAGGGACGTCAAAGGTCAGTCAATCCCGTTGGGAATAGTGACAGGCTGGTAGGAAGATCGCGGCCGGGGGGGGGGGGGGGGGGGGGCTCAAGCAATAAACTGAAACGAAGGTTCGACTCATGGTAGCCTCTAGGTTTACATAACTCCTAAAACGGTACAACTGAGCATCCTACAGTAGCAAGTTGAGGATGAGGATCAAACCCCCAAAGCCTCTAAACCCTACTAACCCCCATGAGGGCATCCTCAAGTTCCTCAACCCTAAACTTCCTAAACCCTAAACCCTAAACTTCCTAACCCAAAAAACTTCCAAGTCTTCCTAAACCCTAAACCCTAAACCCTAAACCCTAAACCCTAAACCCTAAACCCTAAACCCTAACCCCTAGACCGAAGGCTAAACCCTAAACCCGAAACCCCAAGCCTTTGCTGAGGAATCTGGGAGTCCTCAGAGCCAAGCCGCGTCGCGCAACGCACTGCCTTGTCGTGGTACTGCAGCGTCCTTCGTGGCAGAGGCCCAGACCCAAAACACCGTACGGTTTGAGGGTTAGGGTTTATCGGGTTTAGGGTTTATAGGGTATAGGGTATAGGGTTTAGGGTTTAGGACAACCCACAGCCATCTGCACCCTCATGCAGTCAGTTCTTTCGGAGGGTGGAGGCTTCAAGCGGATCCGGGTGCTTGCTCTGCATTTAGGGTAGAATGAGTGTCAAGTCGTCAGCTGTTTGGAGGTTTAACAGTTTATAAAGGTTTAGAGGTTTAGAGGTTCAGAGTATAAGGGTTCAAGCCTTTCGGTTTTGCAGCTTTGGATTCCGCCGCGGCATGTGCGTTGCGGCCGAGTGGCTTGTATGGCGTCTTCGCAAAATCCAGGTCCCACCACACCTGAAACAAAGAGCCTGTAAACCCTAAACCCTAAATCCTAAACCCTAAACCCTAAACCCTAAACCTTTTCAGCAAGCTGTAGCTCCATTCCTGAGATACCGGGCGGCCATTCCAGTAACACTCCCCAACTAGGTTCTCCTTAGTAGGGAATGGGGGAATGAGGTACCCCCTGGTTTAGGGTTTAGGGTTTAGGGTTTAGGGTTTAGGGTACCCAGTAACCACATTCTGATAAGGGCACCCTTTTTTGGGTTGACTACGTTTTTTTTAAGCGAACCTTGAAGCAAAAAAAAGGAAACGGGTACCACCCGGGCTACCAAGTTTAGGGTTTAGGGCAGCATCTTCAAGGGTTCCCGATTTGGGTTGAGGCGCTTTAGGGTTAGAGCACATGATGAGGGGTGTTTAGGGGAAATTAGGCGTTAAAGGCCTGCAACTCACTCACCTCAGCCAAGCAGCTACGCGTCTGTCGTAGGAGCCAACGACGACATGATCGCCAGTTGGGTGCCTTGTCGCGAACTGCGGGAGGGGTTGGGGATCGCGAAACCCTAAACCCTAAACCCTAAACCCTAAACCCTAAACCGTGTAGGCTTAAGGGTACTGAAAGCGTTCCCCAAAACTCCGAAGCCCGAAGCCTCAGCCCTGAACTCCGACTAGGGGAGCAACCGCTCCCAACTTCCTAAGCTCGAATCCCTGAACCCTGAATCCCTAAACCCTAAACCCTAAACCCTAAACCCTAAACCCCTGAGTCGCAGCCAAGCGTCACCGTGACCGATGAGATCCACTTGGCGCCGCTGATGAGCTGCTTCAGCTGCGTCCTTGAGTTGTTTAGGGTTTAGGGTTTAGGGTTTAGGGTTATTTAGGGGGTTTACAGGGTTTCGAGTTTAGGGTTTGGGGTTTAGGGTTTAGAGGGTTTAGGGGGTTTAGAGGGTTTTTGAGAGCTTGAGAGGTGTAGGGTTTACAGTGTTAAAGGCAAAATAAGGGTCTAAAAGAAGTCCCCAAACTCCCAGACCCTGAAGCCTTAGACCTTAATTCCGAGCCAGGGGATGGCTCGGGGCTTAGGGTTTAGGGTTTAGGGTTTAGGGTTCAGGGTTTAGGGTTTAGGGTTGAGGGTTGCTAATGGTGCTTTAGTGCGCTCTCGTGCAGATGGTCCAGGTGCTTCAGGGCTTGAGGAGCTTTATAGGTGAGGTGAGGGATGTCAGGGTGGGTTTGCTTCTATTTGGCTTTAGAAAACCTGAAAAGGGTTTGGGGTGTAAGGGCATTTTAGGGCTAAGGGTTTAGGGCTGTACTCTTCGTGGTCATGGTCGTGGTTGTACTAGTCGTCATAGAAGTAGAAGGAAGAAAAAAAAAGTAGAAGTACAAATTGTACATAAAAGAAGAATAAGTAGTTGTAGTTGTACTACTGCTAGTACTGCTACTACTGCTCCTACGATACTGCCACCGCCACGGCCACCGCCACCACCACCACCGCCACCACCAGCTCCGAAAAAGCTCTAAAGCCCTGAAGGCCTGAAGAAGGCCTAAACCCCAAACCCTAAACCCTAGGCCCCTAAACCCTACACCCTAAACCCTAACCCTCAACCCTTCAAGCCTCATCTTTACTGTACAAGATCAAGGCGCTGCTTCTGCAAGTCGTAGATTCGGACACTCCGCATCGTGGCCACGAGGAAGTGCGGCCTTTAAGTGGCTTTGGGGGTTTGGGGTTCGGGGGGCTGGTTGGGGGGTTGGCCTATTAAAGCTCTGAAACATATAAACAGCAACAGGTGCTACGATCATAAATGTATGTACTTGAGATAACTCTGTAGTACTTGGTATGACCATGTCCATTCCTAGCATGTAGAAACACTTCCTGCGCTTTCCCTGCGTTGCATCGGAAGCATTCCCATTTCACACGGTCTGCCTCTTCAGTGTCACAAATCAACGGCATGGTGTCATGAGAATCTCAGGTTGTGCCTCCCGGTCCGCTGATAGTGATTGATTGAACTCTAAACCCTGTTTAGGGTTTAGGGTTTAGGCTTTAGGGTCTAGGGTTTAGGGTTTAGGGTTCCCAAAATACTCCTCGGCCTATAAGGCTATGAGGCCAGAAGGCCCCCGAATGTCACGCCAAAGGAGGCATGCACACAGCTTTCCTCGAGTCTTCAAGCTCCCAATCCCCTTTTGGAGCTCAAAGCTTGGGAGGTTTCCCTAACTAACAGTCCTGAATAAGGATTATAGTACATACCCCCCCCCCCCCATTTTCCGGCTTAAGCTTTAGGGCTGAGGGATGGAACAGCCCCAAACCCCGAAGTCTGAGACTGAATAATCTTCTCCAATACCACCCAATCTTACCAACATGAAGAACTGAAGAACAACCCTGTTAGACACACGCACGTACGCCCTCCCTAAATCCTTACCCCTAACCCCTAAACCCTAACAGACAAAGCCAAACATCCCGAGACCTGTAGTCCCTAAACCCTGCCGGGCAAACTATGCTTTACGCACCCCCAAACAAAAGAACTCGCCACACCTGGTTCAGGGTTGAGGGTTTATGGCTTAGGACTTGGGATTACTGCAGGCCATGAAACTTAGTACTGCTATGCATGTAGGAAGACTTGTAGCTACGACAGGCCAATTCGGATACGATTTTCGCCTCGTTCCTGCTCCTTCACATGCTGCTGGCGCCACGCCACCGCCTGCTTCCACATCTTCGCCACCTCATGCTTCGACAAGTCCTTGGGCCGGAACCGCATGTTCTTGGTCTTTTTGCTGGTCCGGCAGTAGAACTTGGCATGCCAGCACTGTTCGCCAAGGTTCCATCGCACCCCCTTCTGCGCCCCGAGCGGCTCGAAGTATGGCATATCCGAAAGCTTCCTCGCCGGTACCACTTCAGTCTCGGCTGGCACACCAAACTGCCGGGCCATCTCCCGAGCTTTTTCCTCGGCTTGCTCCTTCGTAGCGAAGTAACCGCTTGAGATGCCTTTCTTCATGCCCGCTGGATCAGGGAACCGCACCCGCCACTTCTGATGCCATTTGCTGAAAAACACGCCCCTCACTAAAGAGCCGATGGATTTGCTGGGCTTCGAGGGCTGCAGCTTGCCCTGGTGCACGAGCTCTTCGCGGAAGGTCTTGGCCTCTTCCAGGGCTGCTGTCACAGCCGCCTCCTCACTGAGGCCCTGCTTCACGAGCTTGGTAACGGAGAAGAATATCCTTTTCAGCTTGCCATCCTGCCATGAGACATTCCAGCCGAACCTTTGCCAACTGATTCCTTGGATGCCACTTTGGCGTTCCAGCCTGTTCCGTGGGCCCACAGCTTTGGCAGCGGGAAAGGCGCGCTCAGCGCTTTGCGCGTTCTCTTCGGCAGACTGGAGCATGTCGTTGACGGCCTGCTTGATGGAAGACCAGATAGCCCCAGCAGCAGCACCTTCAATCTCGCCCACGTTGTCTTCGAACTTCTCGATTTTACCTTCTTAGTTGTCCAGTAACCTGGGGGAACTAAAGGTTAACCTTGGGGATTATAAGGGGATTATGCTACCCCAAAAAGGTTAAAGGTTACCTACTCTACTACTAGGGACTCTTACACCCTAAGCCATACAAACCCTAAACCCTAAACCCTAAACCCCAAACCCTAAACCCTACTCTACTACTAGGCCTTGCACAAAGTCCAGCACGTGCTCTATCGCGGAGCAGTCATACTGCTTCGCGCGCCACAAGTGCAAGGCATGAAGAAGCAGCTTGCGCACCCGCCTTTGCCTTACTGTTGTTTAGTAGGAGAAGAAGGTACCATATACTAGAATCCCTTAAAGGGTATATAGGGGCCCTAAACCCTAAACCCTAAACCCCAAATCCTAAACCCTAAACCCTATAAACCCTAAACCCTATAAACCCTAAACCCCAAACCCCAAATCCTAAACCCTAAACCCTAAACCCTACTAACCAACAGCAAGTTGCAGATCAGCTTTCGGGCTCTGTGGATCAACAGGTGCTGCTGCCTCACTTGATCCTTGCGGGTCAAGTTCCTTGGGGGCCAGATGAACCACAAAAAGGATGTGTGGACTCATAGACCATAAAAAGGGATTCTAGTACGTAGTATAGGGTTTGTGGCTTCATATGCCTTAATACGGATTATAGTAGTATAGGGCATATGACTCATATACCAGAGTAAGGATTACAGTAGTCTAGGGCATATGACATATGACTCACATTTACCATAATAAGGATTATAGTAGTATAGGGCATATGACCCTAAACCCTAAACGCTAAACCCTAAACCCTGAACCCTGAACCCTAAACCCTGAACCCTTGACTCTAGACCCCCCCAACGTTGGTGGTCATTTTGCTCCCCAAGGTTCTTGCAGCCTCGCCTGTTTGCGAGGAGCCGCAAGAGCTGCTGCCGCCGTGTTGACGACCTCGGCCAGCTGGGCCTGGCTAAGCCCCCTCAGGGGGCACCTGGCCGCCTCCTCCGCTTGCTGGAGGCGCTCCAGCCTTTGAGCGGAATCCAGGAAGCCCCATTCATTCATCTTGCTGACAAGCTGCAGGTGCTGGCTGGATGCCTGAGTAGAGGATTGGGCTGGCTCATCGTCTGAGTCTACCTGAACGACTTCGCCGGCATCAAGCTGAAACCCACCTGAGTCGGCGCATTCGACGTCGGAAACAGCAACCATGTCGTGCACGGCGGCGCCGCCATGAGCCGCAGCAGCGCCACCATGAGCGGCGGCCACGTCGTCCGCCGGCCTTCGGCAGCAGCGGAACTTCAGGAGACTCTTTTGCAGCTCTTGCTCTGCCTCTTTCCAAATCTCGCTGGCCTGCCAGGTTGCCACGGCACGCTGTAGCGAAGCCAGCGTCTCCGGCAGCACCTCCATCAAACGAGAAGGCAGAAGGCCACCGCCCACCCTGTCGATGAACTTCCTCAGGAGCTGGAGCTCGCTGATGTCTGGAATCCAGCCTTTGGGGCCATACGCGATCCATGCAGCCACGTGGGCAGCGTGCTTTCGCACGGCTGCCTTGTCGAAGTCGTCTGCCCTCTGCGAGTACCGGCGGATCCTTCGTTGCGCTTCGCACGTGGGTTGCAGAACATGTTCCTACCCTAAACCCTAAACCCTAAACCCTAAACCCTAAACCCTAAATCATTGTTGCAACCTCGTCCCGCAACCTGCAGCCAAGCATCACCAGCGATTTGTGAGCATGACGATGGTATTTCCGAGCGTGCACACGCAGCCGGCGGCTTTGGGACAGGGCCATGGCTGTCGCTTGTTCTCGGCCACTGCTGGATGCACTTCAGCTATTGAAAATGTGCAACCTCGAACAGTAAACCTAAACCCTGATGAAGGGACCTCCTGTGATCCAAACTTGACGCGAGCGCCGCGCCTTACCTGGAGGTTTTAGACAAGACGTCGCCGACAACATTGTTCGTGGCGAAGCACCAGCGGGGTTTTACGGGGTTCCTAAACCCTAAACCCTCAGCCCGAAACCCATAACGGCCCTAAACCCTAAACCCTAAACCCTAAACCCTAAACCCTAAACCCTAAACCCTAAACCCTAAACCCTAAACCCTAAACCCTAAACCCTAAAGAGTCATCACGTTCAGGGGTAGGTTTCAAAGAGTGGGCCCGCCGCCGCCGAGGCGCTTCGTTGGGTGGAAGGCACAGCTCTGCACCTTCGCATCATTCTTCCAAGGTAGGGCTGAAGCGTTTGGGGTTTAGGGTTTGGGGTTTGGGGTTTAGGGTTTTTAGGGCTCGTGGCTTAGACGTTTGGAGTGTAGGGTCTAGGGTTGGAGAACGCAAATATTGTAGCTTACCTACGAATCCCATACGGGGGTTTATCATCACCACCTGCAACAGAAGTGCTGCAGGTTTGGGGCTTCTTAGGCTGAGGGCTAGGGGGTTTCGGGGGTTGGGGACTGTTTAGAAGCGAACTGTAAGCGCTTTGCTGGGAGGTGCGGCTTGCAGGGCGCCTTCATCTCCATGAGCGCCTCGAACCCCATGGCCCCTGTTCCCTACAGCCCCCATAACCCTGAAGCCCTGAAACCCAAACCTAAACTCCTGACCCCCAAAACGCTACTAGGGGTTACCTGAATTGGTGTCCTTATTATAAGGGGATCCTACTATTTGGGGGTCTATTTTTAGGGGTCCCCTATTTTCGCAACTCCCAAATCGCAGCCTGTTGCCCACCCTTCAGCTTGGAGAAGGGCCGCATGGACTTCTGCTGGTTCAGCGCCTCGGAACAGCACGAGAGATACGATGCGAGGGTTTTAACGCAATCGGGTCTAAAGCTGCTTCGGATCTTGGGTTTAGGGTGTATAGGCTATATATATATATATAGATATAGATATAGATATATATATATAGATATAGATATAGATATAGATATAAGTATAGGGTGAGAGGGTTGAGGGTTTAGGGTTTAGGGTTTCGGGTTGCAGTGGCATGCAAGCCGACCTCTGAACCCCGTAAGCACCGGGCGTGAATGATGCACTGGTTGGACGTCGCCCTTGCCTGCGGCAGGAGCGGCCGACTCTCTCTTTTGGGAAGTGGCCCTAAACCCTAAACCCCGAACCCCAAACCCTACTAAAACCCCCCTTACATAGCCCGCAAGACCCAAGGGCTCAGTTAAAGAAGGTTAATGAAAGGACCATATGAAGGGACCATGTAACATCATGTAACTTGCCTTAGGGTTTAGGGCTTAGGGCTTAGGGTTTAGGGTTTAGGGTTTTACTACGATGGCCCTTGAAAGGCCCTTAGTATCCTTTGAAAAACATCCTGAATCTGATCCTCTTAAACACGAGAAGGGAAATACCTAGCTTAGTACTCTAAACCCTAAACCCTAAACCCTAAACCCTAAACCCTAAACCCTAAACCCTAAACCCTAAACCCTAAACCCTAAACCCTAAACCCCAAGCAGCCCCGAACCCACACATGGCAACGCCCCAAGCAGCTCGAAGCCCTCAATCTTGGGGTGGGGGTTTAGGGTTTAGGGTTTAGGGTTTAGGGTTTAGGGTTTAGGGTTTAGGGTGTAGGGTGTAGGGTGTAGGGTGTAGGGTTTAGGTTTGAAAACTTGGGATTCTACATGAGTTTTTTTGTCATGGAGATGTGTGATAGTCGGCTTCCCAATGAAGAAGCCCTCTAACCCCGTAACCCTATGACCCTAGAACAGTACAAAACAAAGCCCAAACTTTTGCCTTAGGGCTCACCGCCGCGCAGTAGTTCCCCTTGTGGTGCCAGACTAAGAACTGAACGTCGCCGTCCGTGGCGATGCTGAGCCTGCACAGGTTGGGGGTTTAGGTTTTAGGGTTTAGGGACTTGGGTTTCGGGTTTAGGGGTTCAGGGGGTTCAGGGGGTTTAGGGGGTTTAGGGGGTTTAGGGGGTTTAGGGTCTAGGGTTTGGGGTTTGGGGTTTGGGGTTCAAAGCCAGTACTTCCGAGACCCCGTAGCGACCCCGAACATTCTGGGACCCAAGCCAGCAGCTTTCCACCCCGAGCGAAACGCTATGAGTCCCACCTGGACCTAGACCCCAAACCCCAAAACCCCAAGCCCAAAACCCGAAACCCTAAACCCCAAACCCTAAACCCCAAACCCTAAACCCTAAACCCCAAACCCCAAACCCTAAACCCCAAACCCTAAACCTGAAACCCTAAACCCTAAACCCTAAACCCAAACCCTAAACCCTAAACCCTAAACCCTAAACCCTAAACCCTAAACCCTAAACCCTGGGCCTGCAACCCAGCTTGTAGGCCGCCGACTCAGGCTCCACGCGGCGCCAGCGAACGGCCCGGGCCTTGGCGCCCTCCGTCGGCTCCGGCTCCTTTTTGAAAGGGCTTTGGGTTTTGTGTTTGGTTTAGGGTTTAGGGTTTGGGGTTTAGGGTTTTAGGTTTAAGGTTTAGGGTTTAGGGCTTAGGGTTTAGGGTATAGGGTTTAGGGCTTTATAGGGTTCAGGGTTTGGAGTTCAGACGGGTTTCGGGGGTGAGGGCTTAGGGTTTACAGGGTCTAGGGCCTGTAGAGTTCAGCAGAAAGTTAGTGACCTGGAGTTTCCCAACCCTAAACCCTAAACCCTAAACCCTAAACCCTAAATTATTCCCAAAATAGAATAGAATCCCCTTAAAGGCCGAAAAAAAAGTGGCAAGGATGTGTTCCTCAAGTTTAGTGTTAATAGGGTATAGGTCCTAGGGTTTAGGGTTTAGGGTTTAAGGTATAGGAGAAAGCGTGCAGGGTCTTAGGGTTTAGGGTTTAAGGTATAGGGGGAAGCGTTTAAGGTATAGGGTTTAGGATTTAGGTTTAGGGTTTAAGGTATAGGGGAAAGCATGCAGGGTCTGGGGTGTTCCTATGCTTTCTGTTGAAGTGCTGGTTTAGGGTTTAGGGTTTAGGGTTTGGGGTTTAGGGTTTAGGGCTGGCATCGGCCGCCATGTTCCCCATGCCGCTCCTCCTCGTCGTCCTTGCCGTCCGACACCGGCTTCACCCCGGCCGCCTGAGGTAGGTTCAGGGTTTAGGGTTTAGGGTTCAGGGTTCAGGGTTCAGGGTTCAGGGTTTAGGGTTTAGGGTTTACGGTTTAGGGTTCAGGGTTCGAAGTGGCCGGAAACAGTCCGACTGGGCAAAAGCAAGCCGTAACCCCTACACTGCCACTCTACTCTGCTACACCCCTGAACCCTGAGCCCTCAACCTTCAACCCCCAAACTCTTTTCCCCCAAAACCCTAGCCACTTCCAACCGCCCTAACCCCAAACTTTGAACCCTAAACCCTAAACCCTGAACCCTGAACCCTAAACCCTAAACCGTAAACCCTAAACCCTAAACCCTAAACCCTAAACCCTAAACCCTAAACCCTAAACCCTAAACCCTAAACCCTAAACCCCAACCCTAAACCCTGAACCCTGCTGGAGGGTCTGCCCACCTCCTTGAATTCCAACATGGATGTCACGGTGGCCGGAAGCTCCTCTTCGGCGATCTCCGGCACATCCTGAACAGGGTTTAGGGGTTTTGGGGTTTGGGGTTTTAGGGTTTAGGGTTTGGGGTTTAGGGTTTAGGGTTTAGGGGTTTAGGGTTTTAGGATTTAGGGGTTTAGGGTTTTAGGTTTGTAGGGGTTTAGGGTGGAGGTTGCAGGGTTAGGTATAGGGTCGAGGGTGCAGTTTAGGGTTTGGAGTCTTAAGCCTAAACTCTCATAATGCCCTCATAGTGCAACCCTGCTAAGCCCCCGAATGTCGACACGCATTGAGACATGAGCTTCACAACCTTCCATATGCGAAGCGACCGCAACCCTAAACCCCAAACCCTAAACCCTAAATCCTAAACCCTAAGCCCTAAACACCCAAAACATAGAGCCAAACCGTAGACAGTAATCTCGACCCCGGACCCTCGACCCTACCTGTGGCGGCAGCAGTTGAAGGCCAGGGTCAAGGAAGAACACGTTCTGACGGAAGCCATGCGTTTCAACGGTTTAGGGTTTAGGGTTTAGTTTAGGATGTAGGTCTTAAAGTTGACGGCCCACTGTCCCTGAGACTCTATTTTGCCTGTGAAGTTTATGGGTTGTGCATACTGTATGTTTAAGGCAAACTTTTAGAAAACTGGCCCGCAACCCTAAGCCCTAAATTGCGTTTGGCTGCTTTGGCTTATGGGGCTTCGGATTACTGTAGGCTTTGCAGCGAAAGCCGCTGAGTCTTTTTCTACGGAAGCCTACCATGAAACAGCACCCTAAAGTGTCAACAAACCCCAAACTCCCCTAAACCCTAAACCCTAAACCCTAAACCCCAAACCCTAAACTCTCAACTCTAAACCCTAAACCCTGAACCCTAAACCCTAAACCCATCCGCATCTGGCATGAACGGCAACAAGGGTACCTCCACGGACTGCCAGTTACCCCTCATCCGGCGAAACGCAAGAAGGACCCTCTCATGACCATACCACAATTACCCTCTGACCGTCATTTGGGTCGGTATTTCGGAGGGTGGGGGCCTTCAGCCCTCTAGCTGACTAGCTTGGGCTGAGGGTGTAGGGTTTAGGGGTTGGGGCTTATTTAGGGATTAGGGTTTAGGGTTTAGGGTTTAGGGTGTAGGGTTTAGGGTTTAGGGGTCTTAGGGTGTAGGGTTCCGGGTTCCTAGATCCCAGGGCGACTTTTGGCGTACCTGCACCTGGCTTTCTAGCAGCCATCCCAAGGACCATATCGACCTCCTCTGGTACAGCAGGGTTTGTATGGGGTTTCTCCCTCTCTCAAACGGGTTTAGGGCTGTCGGTCTTCGGCTTATTGTTGCTAATGTCGCAAGCCATTGGACCCCAACAAAAATCCGACACCCAAAGCTCTTGCCTCTTCGGCCGCGACGCTGAGGATCAGGTGTCGCGGGTTCCACGCGACAGCTGTCACTGAGCTGCCTTCGTCCAGGCCGGTTGGCTCGAAACCGAAACACTACTATCCAACTAAGCCTCACAAACCCCACAAGCCCTATTACAGAATATCACAAAGCCTATGATAAAAACCTGTAAGCTCGATACATCCTACAAGCCCCAAAAACCCCCTACACCCTGTAACTCGAATACAATAAGCCCCAACCGCAAACTACCATTTGCTTAAGAAGCCCCCCAAAAAGCAAGATGATAATCCCTATGTTGCCCTCATAGGGAAGAAAGTGTTTTGATCTTTTGGGGTTCCTAAGCAAACTATCCCAAACCCCAAGCCCAAAACCCTCGGGCAAGTTAACTGATCAGCAGCCAGGGCACTGAACTTCAGAGATCTGATCGGTCGACCAGTGGCCACCTGCGCCGGGCGAAACCCTAAACCCTAAACCCTAAACCCTAAACCCTAAACCCTAAACCCTAAACCCTAAATCCCTCATCCCTAAACCCGGTTGAAGACTGAGGCAACTTAGGGGGGCTTAATAACTAGACTAGGGTGTTCGGGGGACCAACTGCTCTCACCCAAACTGCCCAGAACGTCAGCCTTGACCATCCTTCATATGAGCAGCAACATCCTGAACCTTAGAGCCAAACCCCCAAAACCCAAAACCCTAAACCTGTGCAGTCCCTGGCCTCCCAGATTCGCAGGGTCTCGTCGGAGGACGCCGTGGCCAGGTATCGGCCCGTGGCCTGTGCCCATTTTCTTGACATCCATGAGGGAACCAGGCCCGTCATAATCACGGAACAGGGCTTAGGTCTTAGGGCTGAGGGCTTCGGGCTTTTATGGGTTTAGGGCTCCTAAACCCCAAACCCTATACTACCCAGCATCTTTCACCCCTGAACGTAAGGCCCGGCCTCTACTGCTCGCCCCCCTCTATACTACCTCCGGGTGGTAGTAGCCCTAAACCCTAAACCCAAAAACCCTAAACCCTAAAACTCTTGTGTAGAGGGGGGTAGTAGGGAAACCCATGAAAGATCCGGCCTCCACTGCCACAGCCCGTACCATGCCAGAGTGTCCCTCGTAGGCCACCGCGATGTGCGTGGGGAACGGGCGAAGGTCCTCTTTTTGGAGCCTTTAGGCCTAGGGGCCTAGGGGCTTAAGTATTGCGGGCTGAAGGTTTAGGGTTTAGGGTTTAGGGTTTGGGGTTTGGGGTTTGGGGTTTGGGGTTGAGGGTTTACTTGCATAATAGGGCTGACATCTCGCGTTGAGGGTTTAGGGTAGAATGCTCAAAGTGCGTTCAGGCACGTCGAGTCCTCAAACCAACAAACGCCGAAACCTCAAACCCAGCAAACCCCATAAGCCAAACACCACCTCCCAACCCAATAAGCCTAGCCCAAATCTGGGGGGTTTCCGAAATTTGGGGGGCACCTTATTAGGGTTCTTACTATAAGGGAACCATACTATCTGGGGACTATATTGGGGTCCCCATATTTTCGCAAACCCCCCGAAAAAAGGCCCTGATCTGGAGGGGTCAAGGGCGATCCAAATCTTTAGGGGTTTGGGGCTTGGGGTTTAGGGTTTAGGCTTTAGGGTTAAGGGTTCTGGGCCTGCAGAAACCCTAAACCCTAAACCCTAAACCCTAAACCCTAAACCCTGCGTGCACTTGCAAAAAGCGCCCATTAGCCCCCAAAAGACCACTCTAACCCCGTGGAAAACCTGTTTTATATATTTGTGAACCCTAAACCCTAAACCCTAAACCCCAAACCCTAAACCCTAAACCCTAAACCCTAAACCCTGTGAAACAGAGCCTTCGGGCTGGGCAGCTTTGGCAGCAGGCTCTCCTAAGCGTTGTCAGGTGTAGCTTAGAGGGACTTGTAGGGGCTTCTGGTCCTGAGGGTTTAGGGTTTCGGGTTTAGGGTTTAGGGTTTAGGGCTAGGGTTAGCGGCCTTGGGGCTTCAGGCGTTCAGGGTTTCGATCTACGGCGTATCACGAGTCTTCATGCAATATGTTTAGGGTGCGGTTTCCAGGATTTAGGGTTTCGGGTTTAGGGCTTTAGGGCTTTAGGGTTTAAAAAGGGTAGTCCGAGTTGCAGGATCCACGTTCATCCGCTGCTTCAGGGCTCTGGGCACCAGGTACAGGTCCAAGCACCTCCGTCACTGAGGTGTGGCTGGAAGGGTTTGGGGTTTGTGGTTTGGCGTTTGGGGTTTGGGGTTTGGGGTTTATGGTTTAGGGCTTAGGGCTTAGGGTTTAGGGTTTAGGGTTTAGGGAACAACGCCTGAACCCACAAACACTAACTTCCCCGAAGCCCTCTGACTTTTGGCACAGTAGCCTCTTGAAGCGCTCCACGATGAGGTCCTTGTAGCCTGGTACGCGGCGAAGCGCATCGTACTTCTGGGGCAAGTGCGTGATTGTCCTGTCCTGGGGAAGAGTAGGGGATGCGAAGTATGGGGGGTCCCCTGTGATATAAGGGCCCATACCTCGGATCCCTTGAAATCCCTTTAAACAGGGGTTTAGGGACCATACTAAGGGCCTAAGAGCCCATGGTTCCAACCTCAGATTTAGGGTTTAGGGCTGAGGGCTTAGGGCCGAGGGGGTTGACATCTTCATGCCTTGGGCCTACGGTTCCGAAATTTCATGGGGGTTTAGGGTTTAGGGCTTAGAGTTTAGGGTGTCCTTCTGCCCATTGGAGAATTTTGCAGTGAGATGCATGTGGAATGGACCGCCCTACTCTGGGAAATGCCCATGTCTGCCCGGGCATCAGGCTGATGTTGCTTATGCACGGGCGTGTCACATATCCCGAAACCGCAAACCCTACACCCTAAACTGCCCCAAACCCGAAACCCTATGCCCTAGACCCTTAAACCCTAAACCCCAACCCCAAACCCCAAACCCTAAGCCCTAAGCCCTAAACCGCTCGGATTCGCGTCCTCTTCGAAGGTCTCTTCCCATTCCTTCTTCTCCTCCTGGCAAGAAAGCGCGGACCCTGCAACTGCCAGGTTTATACAGAGTTTAGGGTTTAGGGTTTAGGGTTTAGGGTTTAGGGTTTAGGGTTTGTCCCCTTAATATTAAACACCCCCTCTACCACCCTAGTATTAAATACTCCCATTAGAGTTATACTATAGGAAATGGGGAGTATGTAATGCTGGGGGTGCAAAACCCCTAAAACCTGAAGCCCACAACCCTCAAGCTTGAGACGGCTGAAGCCCCACGAGCCCAGCCCAACCCTTAGGGTTTGGGGTTTGGGGTTTAGGGTTTAGGGCTTCAACTCTTCTTCGGCCCTCTACCAAGCCATGGCGTCCACGCATCGTCTCGTCTCCAAAGCCCTGAAAACTCGTTTTGGGTTTATGGTTTAGGATTTAGGGTTTAGGATTTAGGGTTTAGGGTTTAGGTCGACACCAGGCTTCTCGCTCTACAGCAGCAACCCCCTCCTCCGTGAACAGGTACTCCGGCGGAGGGTTGTAGGACTCCTTGGTACCCGAGCAACCGTAGTATCCCAACCCTGAACCCTAAACCCTAAACCTTAAACCCTAAACCCCCCTAAACCTGAACAAAAAAAACAAAAAAGGGGCACCACCGGGCTTCCAAGACTCCGCATGGCCAGGCAAGGCCATCTTAGGAGCTGGTAGCGGACGGGGGGCCTCGAAGGCGTTTTAGGGTTTAGGGTTTAGCGTTTAGGGTTCGGGGTTTAGGGTTTGGGGTTTAGGGGGTTCGGGGGTTGGGGTTTGGGGTTTATTGTCTATAGGGTCCGCCGACCCTGGCGGCGTGTTGGATGGGAAAAGGAGGTGAAAACCTCCCTCTTTCCCTCCTCCCCCCGAAAAGCCCGGGGGGGGGGGGGGGGGGTAGGGGGGGTCGGTGCACAATTTTTTCGTGGAGAACCGCGCCACCCGCACAGCGCAAACAGGCGGTTCAGCACAGGGGGCCCTCAGCAAAATCACCCCCCACCCCCCTACCACCCCTCCCCCAAAACGTTTCACAAAACTCTGCCGAGCAGGCTGGGATCTTCGAACCATGCGAGCGGGTTTAGACCTCTCAACTATGCTCCAGCGGGGTCGGCGGCTTGAGCCGGAGGCTCTTAAATCCGGCCCCCGCGCCGCCCGTGGTCCAGGGCGGAGCCCGCGTCGCACTAAAGCGCTAGCTTTAAGGGGCGAGCGCCCGAGCCGCCGACCCCGCCCAAAATTGCTTCAAATTCGCGCGGGGCCCTTCGGGAGGCCTCCAAAACCCAAGGGGACGCAACACGCGGTGGTGCGAAAAGCACGAAAACCTCGTAAAAACCATGGGTTTTTACGAAAAACCGAGGCCACAAAACACCCGCAGCACCCCATTAAACCCTCACGGGCGCGCATCATCGGCCCTATGGGGCGCGCGCCAGGCCGAAACCGCGTTTTTCAAGGTTTGGGGGGGGTACCGGAAGCCCAAAACCAGGCGAGCATCATGAGCATCAGCAGCCCTGGCCCGCGGGCCCAAGGCAATAAAAAACGCTGAAAAACGCTGAAATCACCGTGAATACCGTGTTTTTATGAGGTTTTTCACGCGTGCCTCCGACCCCCACCCCTGTTGCCCTTGACCCGCCCCCAAAGTGCGCATCATCGAAACCCACGTCCGGGGGGGGTCTGCTGATGCTGCTGATGCGCGGGGTCCGGGCGCATCATCGAGCCATCGCTTCTCTTGGGCTTCGTGGGGGGGTCCGGGCCCACGGCCCAGAGACCCAGCTGATGCTCATGATGCTCGGTTTGGGGGGGTGTTCCAACATCAGAAAACCTCGTAAATACCGAGTGTTTTGTGGGTCCACGTAAAAACGCCCCTAAAATCGCTCATTTTACGCGCTCGAACGGCTTCGTGCCTACAAAACACCCGAACAGCAGGACCCCGAATGCCCTTAAGGGCATTCGGGGTCTTGCTTTTGGGGGTTTCGTGGGCACGCAAGCGTTCAAGCACATACAATCGGCGTGTTTAAGGGGGTTTTGGATGGCCTGGGGGAGGCCGCTGATGCTCATGATGCTCATGATGCTCCCTTTCCTGGGTCCCAAAAGGCTTCCCAAGCCCAAAAACACGTGTTTACAGCGTTTTCTGAAGGTTTTTCGAAGGCAAAACGCATGCATAGAATGCTTTTAAGGCCCCCAAACCAACCCCACTGATGCTCCTGATGCCGCGCGCGCGCGCGCGCGCGCAGGGGGGCGGGGGGGGGGGGGGGGGGGGGGGGGGGGGGGGGGGGGGGGGGGGGGGGGGGGCGAAGGCAGGAGAAAGAGAGACAGAGAGAAAGAGAGGACAAAGACACGGGAAAGAGAAGACAGTGCCAAGGTTCAAGGTTTCGTGCTTTGGGGGGCGGGGGCCGGCCCGTGCCGCTAGGCCTGAAATCCGGCCCCCGCGCCGCCCGTGGTCCAGGGCGGAGCCCGCGTCGCACTAAAGCGCTAGCTTTAAGGGGCGAGCGCCCGAGCCGCCGACCCCGCCCAAAACTGCTTCAAATTCGCGCGGGGCCCTTCGGGAGGCCTCCAAAACGGCATCCAAGAAGACGCAACACGCGGTGGTGCGAAAAGCACGAAAACCTCGTAAAAACCATGGTTTTTTACGAAAAACCGAGGCCACAAAACACCCGCAACACCCCATTAAACCCTCACGGGCGCGCATCATCGGCCCTAGCTTTTCACATGGGGCGCGCGCCAGGCCGAAACCACGTTTTTCAAGGTTTGGGGGGGTACCGGAAGCCCAAAACCAGGCGAGCATCATGAGCATCAGCAGCCCTGGCCCGCGGGCCCAAGGCAATAAAAAACGCTGAAAAACGCTGAAATCACCGTAAATACCGTGTTTTTATGAGGTTTTTCACGCGTGCCTCCGACCCCCACCCCTGTTGCCCTTGACCCGCCCCCAAAGTGCGCATCATCGAAACCCACGTCCGGGGGGGGGTCTGCTGATGCTGCTGATGCGCGGGGTTCGGGCGCATCATGGAGCCATCGCTTCTCTTGGGCTTCGTGGGGGGGTCCGGGCCCACGGCCCAGAGACCCAGCTGATGCTCATGATGCTCGGTTTGGGGGGGTGTTCCAACAGCAGAAAACCTCGTAAATACCGAGTGTTTTGTGGGTCCACGTAAAAACGTTCCTAAAATCGCTCATTTTACGCGCTCGAACGGCTTCGTGCCTACAAAACACCCGAACAGCAGGACCCCGAATGCCCTTAAGGGCATTCGGGGTCTTGCTTTTGGGGGTTTCGTGGGCACGCAAGCGTTCAAGCACATACAATCGGCGTGTTTAAGGGGTTTTTGGATGGCCTGGGGGAGGCCGCTGATGCTCATGATGCTCCCTTTCCTGGGTCCCAAAAGGCTTCCCAAGCCCAAAAACACGTGTTTACAGCGTTTTCTGAAGGTTTTTCGAAGGCAAAACGCATGCATAGAATGCTTTTAAGGCCCCCAAACCAACCCCACTGATGCTCCTGATGCGGGTGCGCGCGCGCGCGCGCCGGGGGGGGTGGAGGGAGGGGGGGCGAAGGCAGGAGAAAGAGAGACAGAGAGAAGGAGAGGACAAAGACACGGGAAAGAGAAGACAGTGCCAAGGTTCAAGGTTTCGTGCTTTGGGGGGCGGGGGCCGGCCCGTGCCGCTAGGCCTGAAATTTAGAGGGTAGAGGGTTTAGGGTTACTCAGGGTTTAGGGTTTAAGGGATTATAAGGTCTTTAGGGTTCAAAGGGTTTATAGGTTTATTTAGGGTTCGTAGTAGTGTTTATAGGGTTTGTGGCGCGTATAGGGTTTGTAGGGTATATGGTTGGGGTTGATGGAGTTTACAGGGTTCGCAAGGGTTGGGTTGCCCAGTAGCAAGGTGTAACTAGCCCGAAAGCCAGAGCCTATGGGCAATGCATGGGGGGGACGGGAACCCTAAACTAAACCCTCAGCCCTAAGCCCAAGTAAACCTTAAACCCTACATGAATGAAAACGAAACCTGCTTTGGGACACCCCAAGCCTGCAGCTTCGAGCACCTCTCCTAAACCCCCAAGCCCTACATAAATCCTGCTTAGAGGACAAAGTAGGGTTCATGCAAAGGTTTTCGGTGGGTGTAGATTGTATGGGGTTCGTTAGGGATCTTGCTGAGTGCACACATGTGTGCCAATATGGGGTGTTCTGCCGGGGGTACTAGCAGGGAAAGTCCTAAACCCTAAGCCCTAGGCCCTAACCCTAAACCCTAAACCCTAAACCCTAAACCCTGAACCCTAAACCCTAAACCCTAAACCCTAAACCCCAAACCCTAACATATCCAGGAAAGGGGCCCGGCGCCGCCGTTCTTCGGGCTCATCCGACCACAGGTCCCAGACTTCAGGTGCCGGAGGTGGCGGAGGCCTCCAAAATTTTCGGGCCAAGGTTTCAGGGTGTAGGTTTAGGGTTTAGGGTTTAGGGATTAGGGTTTAGGGTTTAGGGTTTAGGGTTTAGGGTTTAGGGTTTAGGGTTTAGGGTTTAGGGGGGGGGCAGGAGTGTAGGGGGGTAGAGGGTTAGAGGATAGCGGTTTCAGGGTTTGCGCGCTGGAGTTTAGGCTTGGGGCTTGGGGTTTGGGGGGAGGGATTTGGGGTTTAGGGTCTTTAAGGGGTCTAGGGAGGAGGTTGTGGATCGAGTGGCACGAACTGTCACGGCTTGCTGCGCATAGGCATCGATTTTGGGAGTCTTGGGTTCACAAGGGCTCGAAAAGGCTCGCGAGCACCCAAAACTGCGAACTCACCCTCAAAAACACTGAGCCTCAAAATCCCCAAAATCCCTGAAGTCCCTACAGGTGAATGAATCAAAGCTCATACCATACCTCCCCACCCTCTAAAACCTAAAGGACCGGCCGGCCTAATCTTCCCCTCGCGAAGCAGCGCCACGAGCCTTTTGACCTCGCGGGGTTTACGGCTTTGACTCTAAGCCTTAAATTTTAAAGACTTTAGGGTTTCCCTAAACCCTAGACCCGAGACTCGTTTGGGGTGCCAAGCCCTCTGTTACGTGTTGAAGAAACTTTTGGGCAGCGCACTGGCTGCCATGCGAAGGTACGTCTGGTCACGAGGGGCGCTTACACCGTAGTGCATGGCACCAGTTGGTATTGCTTTGTGGCTTCGGAAACGAACTCGAATAACCCTAAACCCTAAACCCTAAACCCTAAACCCTAAACCCTAAACCCTAAACCCAATACGCCCTAGACTCGAATAACATTGGCCCGACAGAGACTTCGGGTTGCCTTTATATGAGGGCTGGAGGTTTTAAGGTTTAGGGTTTAGGGTCGGAGGTTGGCTACCAAATGCCAAGATCACGGTGCCCAAACCCTAAACCTTAAACCCTAAACCCTAAACCCCAAACCCTAAACCCCATCCGGCCTTCATCCGCTCCCATTTGGAAGGAAGGAACCTCGCCTTTGGTGGATGAGCTTTGCGTTCAGGATGTATCCTGGCCTGCCAGAGTCGCGCATGGGGTTGAGGGGGTTGACAGTTTATAGGGCATAGGGTTTAGGGTTTAGGGTTTAGGGTTTAGGGTTTAGGGTTTAGGGTTTAGGGTTTAGGGTTTAGGGTTTAGGGTTTAGGGTTGCTTTTGCTTCTGCTATTGTTATTGTTATTCTTCTTATTGTTAATCTTATTCTTGTTAGAATAATGAAAGTCTCGTTACTCTCTTGTTTCTTACCATATTGTTAGCATATTGAAAGGTTGAGCTTCGGAGTTTGGGGTGGAAATATGGGTTAGGGGGGTTGAGGGCTTCGGGGTTTTAAGGCTCAAAAGTTTAGGGGGCTTCGGGCTCAGGGAGTTACACAGATGGGTCTGGGTCGCAATAAGCCCTAAACCCTAAACCCTAAACCCTAAACCCTGAACCCTAAACCCTCAAGATGTCGCAGGAGTCTCGCCTCAGGATTGTCAAACTCAACCATTTCGGTTGTGTCCGTGGCAGCGCTGGGATACATCCTGCCGGGCAGCAGCGTGGTGGAGAGAGGGTTTAGGGGACCCTAAAGGGTTTAGGGGTTTAGGGGTTAGGGGTTTAGGGGTTTGGATTCAGGGTTTAAGGTTTAGGGGAACTTAGGGAGTGATATGGGGTTACAAAAAATGGGATCCTTAGTATCGACTCCCAAATAGTAGGATTCCCTTATACTAAGGACCCCACTAATTATGGGGTTCTTAGGGGGGGGGGGAGGTTCAAGGGGGGTAGGTACCTAGTCTCATGGCGGGTAGGTATCTAGGGAACCTTAGGGAAGCTTAGGGAGCCTTAGGGAGTAGTGGGGAGTACTTGGGCTCCTTGGGTTACCTACCCCCCTTGAACCCTGTAAACTGAGGCACCCCCTAGTTTCGAAAACCCCCATACTGGGGCTTTGCTACAGGCCATGCGGGTGCTGTCACAGCTTGCAAGGCGTCCTTGAACGGATCCGCCGGATGATCTCAAGGTCCGTATCGGTCAGAACCACCTGCTTCCGTTTGTTTTTTGTTCCCCTACTACCCCCCTCTATACGACCCGCCCCCTAGGTTCACCCCTTAAAATGATCTCTTCATTGGGCTTAATTATCCCTAGATAGCCTGAACTATGGGGGGGAACCCAAGGGGGGGCGGGGGGCATACAGGGTGTCGGAGAACCCCTGCTTTTTTGCTAGCTCTGATGGTCCTCTTTGGGCTGGATAACTCTCCGACCAACAGAACCAGATCGACGCGTCTCTGACAGTGTGTTAGGGGATAGGATTAGGGGGACCCTTGGCCCTCTCAATCAGGTGAGTCAGAAGAGGGTTCAGAAGTGTTCCCATTTTGAGGGACCCCCCTTATCCTACCTAAGATGTGTGTTGCATGATGAACAAGTGCTCAGGTAAACTGAACCGAGTGTCAACAGGGATCACGCAAAGTAGACTGCACTGCGTGCTACAATTCACAGTATTAACCCTAAACCCTAAACCCTAAGCCCTAAACCCTAAACCCTAACATCTCTTGTCTGAGCAGCGAGCTCGGCACTGCGGGCAAACGTCAGAAAGAGACGCTTGGGCTCAGCATGTGGTGGGCTCCCTAAATTTTGGGGTCTCTCCTTACGCCTTCGTATGATCTGTATGAAAAGCCTATTTAGGGTTTAGGGTTTAGGGTTTAGGGCTTAGATTTAGGGTTTAGGGCTTAGGGTTTACGATATCAGGGGCACTTTCTTGGGGTCCTTAGTATAAGGGGATCCTACTAATTATGTTAGGTCAGGGGTTCCTTTTTTTTGGTCATATGAAAATAGAAGCTCGCTGAAAGGCCGGCGCCTCACGCTGGTTCTTGTGGTCCTTGATGGTGCGCCATGCATCTGGATTGTCCTGCGCGTGCAAGGCATCGAACGAAGCCCCAAAGCCTCAAACCAAACTTGCTGAAATCCTTAAACTCTCTCTATGGGGGATTCTATATCCCAGGGCACTTTTTGGAGTTACAATTTCAAGTCGGCCCCCTCTTACTTCGGGTAACAAAAAGGAACCATCATGAAAAGAACTCAGCATATACACACTATAAACCCTACATCCATCAAACACCCTGAGGGGACCCCCCAATATAGATCCCCAAATGGTAGGATCTCCCTTATAAAAAAGGATCCCAATAAGGTACCCCCTTAATTTTGCAAAGCCCCAATATCCCAATATCCCAGTATCCCTAAACCCTAAACCTAAAAACCCAAAAACCCAAAAGCCCAAAAACCCAAAAACCCAAAAACCCCAAAACCCAAAAACCCCAAAACCCCAAAACCCCAAAACCCCAAAAAAATCAAAAACCCAAAATCCCAAAAACCCAAAAACCCTAAAGCCCTAAAACCCAAAAACCCAAAACCTCAACCCAAAAACCCAAACCCTAAACCCTAAACCCCCCCCATCTCCCAACAGAGAGGGCGGACCGCACCTTGCTCTCCAAGAGTGCATCAATCTCTCCGGTAGAGAGCGTCCTTCCGTGGAATGAATGCTGGAAGGCTCGAGAGGCGGGTTTCGTAGGGTTTAGGGTTTAGGGTTTAGGGTTTAGGGTTTAGGGTTTAGGGTTTAGGGTTTAGGGTTTAGGGTTTATGGTTTAGGGTTTTGGGGTTTAGGGTTTACGGTTTTAGGGTTTTAGGGCTTTCGGGTTTTAGGGTTTAGGGACTAGGGTTCGAAGACTCAGAGGTTCTTCAGCACCGTTTTGATTGTCCTAAATATTCTCTTTGGGGGGACCCGCGGGGGGAGGGAGGTGCCTGAAATCCTAAACCCTAAATACCCTACAACTCGAGAGCCCTAAGCCTAAGGTTGGAACCATGGGCCCATAGTATGGTCGCTTACCCTAAACCCTAAACCCTAAACCCTAAACCCTAAACCCTAAACCCTAAACCCGAAAACCTTAAAACCCTAAAACCCTAAAACCCTAAACCCTAAAACCCATTTTTTTGGCTTTGAGGGTCCGGAGCTGACAGGCTGTATTTGAGGGTTTAGGAGCTTGGGATTCGAGGGCTTCAGTCTAAGGCTTTAGGCTTTAGGACTTAGGGTTTAGGGCTAGGGTGTAGGGTTTAGGGCTTAGGGTTTAGGGTTGAGAGTCTTAGGGCTAAGGCGCCAGCCCTACATCGCGTAAACCTGTCCTCATGACCTTCTCCCCGGCAATGTCGTAGCCCACGTGGTCTTCGTCTTTGTACCTCCGAATCCTCTAGGTACAGTTTGTAGGTTTAGGGGTTTCGGGGCTAGGGTTTAGGGGTTGGTCGGGGGAGTTTGGGTTCGAGGGTAGGAGCAGTATGGGATCTCATTAGGTTTGGGCTTCCAAAGGCGCTCTCAAGGTTGTGAGAGGGCTTTAAATCTTGAGCCCAATTACCCTAAACCCTAAACCCTAAACCCTCAACCCTAAATCCGCAAGCTCAAGGATGCGCGTGAACTAAGAATTCTGCGGCCTCGACAACCAGGTTGCCGGGTCGAGGGACTTAGGGGATGTTTTCGGGTTTAGGGTTTAGGGTTTAGGGCTTGCGGGTTTAGGGGTTTAGGGTGTACAGCGTGGCTGCACCGGAGGCAGAAGGCGCACCACTCCAGGGGGACATTGCCGATCCTGGGCCGAGCTTCCGTTTGTTTGGATCACGCCTAAACCCTAAACCCTAAACCCTAAACTCTACAGCCCTAAACCCTAAAGTTGCCCTAAACCCTAAACCCTAAACCCGAGACCCGCATGCCCTGAATCCGCGACTCTCCACTGCTACACCCTCAACCCTGGTTCCATCTCGCTGGCGGCTGACAACACTTTAGGGTTTAGGGTCAAGGGTTTTTGCAGTTTCGGATACTCTTGCGCAGCGATTTGCATGCCAGTCTGACTTTCAGTTACACGCAAGCCGCGTAAGTGTGTGGACAGCATCCACGCCCAGAAATCCTAAACTAAGCTCTGAAATCCTAAACCCTAGCCCCCCGCCCCCTTCACCATAGAAACCCCTACCAATCTGCAAAACCCTGAACCCCAAACCCTCAAAAGCTTTCAAGAAATCCGGGCCTCTTTCTTTTTTTTCTCCCTTGGACCCTTAAACCCTAAACCCTAAACCCTTGACCCTTTTGAAGATCTTAAGGTAGTAGTCGGAGCATATAAAAGGGGGAACCTTTGGGGCTACAACCTTACTTGGAGGTCCAGGATACTTATGACTAAGGGTACTTACAAGCCCCCTAAGTCCTCTAAGTAGGTTACAAGTGGACGTATAATTGGGGTTTTAAGTACTCATGAACCTCCAAGTAGGTCCCAAACCCTAAACCCCCAAACGCATTTTTAATCTTATAATTGGGGTTATAAGTACCCATGAACCTCCAAGTCTAGCATGAATTACATTATTTGTGCTACATCTTCCCTCAACCCCTCAACCCCTCAACCCCTCAACCCCTCAACCCCTCAACCCCTCAACCCCTCAACCCCTCAACCCCTCAACCCCTCAACCCCTCAACCCCTCGACCCTAAACCCTAAATCCTAGACCCTAGACCCTAAACCCTAAACCCTAAACCCTAAACCCTAAACCCTAAACCCTAAACCCTAAACCCTAAACCCTAAACCCCAACCTTAGGGGTACGACGTCTTAACTCCCTTGATGGCCTGTTTCGGGGCGCATCATCCTCGGAGTCGTCGGAAGAGCCGTCGTCAACCTTGGTAGCCCAGTAAGCATGTTACAGGAAGGGTTTAGGGTTTAGGGTTTAGGGTTTAGGGTTTAGGGTTTAGGGTTTAGGGTTTAGGGTTTAGGGTTTAGGGTTTAGGGTTTAGGGTTTAGGGTTTAGGGTTTAGGGTAACCCTAAACCCTAAACCCTAAACCCCTTCTAAGGTTGGTTACTTTAAAGGGGAGCCCAGAACTAACCCTAAACCCTAAACCCTAAACCCCTTCTAAGGTTGGTTACTTTAAAGGGGAGCCCAGAACCCCCCCCCCCCCCCCCCCCCAAAAAAAAAAAGGGTACCGCGGGGCTGCCAAGCAACCAGGCCATCGTTCTCGGACTCGTCATCGGTGTCCTGGGTGGGAATCGTCTCTTGGGCTCTCCTATTGTTATCCGTTGTTTCCTTAATTTTGCTTATCTTATTATTCTCATATTAATACTATTATTTCTGTTTTAGTTTTTTTTTTTGGGGGGGGGGGGGGGGAGATGGAGGGCGGCGGGGAGGAAGGGGGGTGTTGGGTTTAGGTCACGATAGCCCTGAAAACGGTGCAAATCTCTGAGCCCTGCAGCCCTAGACCTTAAAACCCTAAACCCAAACGGCCATGGTTTACACATGTGTGTATATTTATATATGTATGTATACTTTATGTATATATATATATAAATATATTCGTATGTATACTTTATGTGTATATATATATATATATACATATATGTACATTTGTTTTCTTGTATTTATACTTATGCTACATTTACATTCGTATCAGTACATACCATGATATTGTACATTTACACGTACATTTGGATCTCCCCAATGACGCAAGCGGAGGGGGGGAAGAGATGGCGGGAGGGAACACTTTCGTTGGTCGGAGGGCACGCCAAATATACATTATACATGCTCCTAAACCCTAAACCCTACACCCTAAACCCTAAACCCCGAACCCTAAACCCTGAGAGTCACGAAACAGTCGGCTCCAAGGGCAGCTGTGGAATCCCCAGATTTGTTTTGGGATTCTTACGCGGGTTTGCGTTTTCCTTCAGCGTTCCCTTGGCTTTTGGCACCGACGTAAAGATCCTACTACATCTTGTCCGCTTGAGTTTTGGGTTACCGCATACAGATCCTAAGATGTTTCTCGCCTCCTAAACCCTAAACCCTAAACCCTAAACCCCAATGATGCAATTTAGGCAATCAGATAGCTCCTTCCTGGAGAACCCAGGTGATGGGATCTTTATGTTTATGTGGCCTGTTGGTCCCCCGAGATTTTCTACATCTACACCTACACCGACATTCGTATTGCTTACTAACTTTACTGCTTCGCTCATGTGCAGTGATTACCGATGGCCGGGTCCTTCATCCCATAGGCCCCTCGACAAGCTGAGTCCTTCTTTCTCCCCCTAAACCCTAAACCCTAAACCCTAAACCCTAAACCCTAAACCCTAAACCCTAAACCCTAAACCCTAAACCCTAAACCCTAAACCCTAAACCCTAAACCCTAAACCCTAAACCCTAAACCCTAAACCCTTGCCATAGCCCTCTAGGGTTTCGGGCTTAGGGGTTTAGGCGAGGTTTAGGGTTTAGGGAGGTGCGGGAAAACCAAACACCTGAATTTGCCCCAGCGAGTCCTCCAAATCTGCAGCATCGACCTGCTGCTTTGGGTTCGGGGTTCAGGTCTTGGGTTTAGTTTAGGGTTCAGGTTTAGGGTTCAGGATCTAGGGCTGGACCCAAGTACCCCAAGTACTCTAAACCCCAAACCCTAGAACCTCTTGTGAACCAGAAGTGGGGCTAATCTAGGGTATCTTAAGCTGCTACTTGGAGAGGACTCGGGAGTGAACCCAGAACCCTTCCTGAAACCTCAGGGCTTAAGGGTTTAGGGTTTGGGGTTTAGGCTGGATTTAGGGTTTAGGGTGCATTTAGGGCTCATTTTTTTTGTGATTTGTGCCACCTCTGAAGATTTCGAGGTGTCCTTTGCGGGTTTCCGGTGGCTGTGGAGTGAGAAAGCTTGGCCAGCAAAGAAGAGGTGAGAAGGATCAAGAAGAAGCAAAACCCTAACTAAGCCCTAAGCCCTAAGCCCTAAGCCCTAAACCCTAAACCCTAAACCCTAAACCCGAAACCCTCAAGCGCAAGCTCGGGGAAAAAGCCTGCTCTGTGCACCAGCAGCACGACCCCTGCTAAAGCAATTCCAGGTGTCCGCTGTCCACTCGACATTCGTGGAGGCTGGTTCATGAAACTCGACAGGTTTAGGGTTTAGGGTTTAGAAGTTCAGGGTTTAGTCTTGCCTCCAAGTGCGGAGGCATTTCACGGAAGCACTCCCTGAGGATCTACGACCCTAAGCCCGAAAACCCAAAACCTTGAAACCCTTAAGTTTAGGGTTTAGGGTTTAGGGTTTACGGTTTAGGGTTTAGGGTTTAGGGTTTAGGGTGTAGGGTTTGAATGGAACCCCGGGCCCTTACCAAGCTAGGGTTTTCACCCGATGTTGCTTGTTTTCTTGGCTTGGCTCTGTGGCCCGGGGTTTAGGGTTTGAGGTTTAGAGGGTTTAGGATTTGGGGTTTGGCGTTTAGGGTCCAAGGGTTTAGGGTCCAAGGGTTTAGGGTTTCGGGGCTCAGGGTCTTTGGGGTAATTGCATGGTCCCTTAGTACCCTTATATACATCAGAACCCTTTGAGGTTAGGGACGCCAGTTCTCGTCGTGGCCGCCCTTTGTGCAGCTTTCCTCCGGCGGGGCAGGCACAGCAGCTCCCTTCCATCCTCCACGCCACCGCCCTCTTTCTCCTCCACGCCGCCCTCTGTCCCCTCCATGCCATCCCTGCCACCACTTTCCACACTGCCACCTTCGAAGCAGCCGTGCTTTGCCCCAAACCCTCCAAACCATCACCTCCCTAAACCCTGAACCCTGAACCCTAAACCCTAAACCCTAAACCCTAAACCCATCTTTGGCTTTGTCGGCCCATGAAAGTACCCTCAGATCGGGGGTTTGGGTTTAGGGTTTAGGGTACGGGGGGACAACCAAGGAAGGAAATCAACTCCCCTAATCGCCCTGAACTTATATTTCCCAGATCGAACCAAGAAACAACCAAGAACACGGATAAGAGCAACAAGGAAGGGGCACCCTTACACAAGTAGAGGGGCACTAACCCAACCCTCACTCCCAAACACGGACTTTTTTCTTTGGACGGGCTGGCCATCCTTGAGCCAAACATAGTTTACGGGTTCATTAACCCTTTCAACTTCCAACACTACCTCCTTTCTACAATACCAATTGCAGCTCCGCACTCCCCCTGTCCTAGGATTTCCTAGGACACATTGGAGATGCAGGTCTTTTGGCCAAAAACTGCCATTAAGGCAGCAGCCAGCTGCTTGAAATGCAAGTTGTGGTTTAACGTCTTCCAGGACGGAATTATAGCACATTGGCTAACCTACTACCCATAGAGAATCTTTTTTCACCATGATCCTCTCATCACTGAAGACTCCTTGGCCTTCTTCACCACAAACCGTGGTCTTCGCTACGCGAAAAGCTACTTACTTCTACTATCAGGGATTTCCATACCCTTAATAGTAACCACCACATTGTCAGCACATTGGCTGTTCCAGCGCACCCGTCTCCAGAAAGAGAAAAACTATCCCTTCATCCATACCATCCAATCACTTCTTTTTCCGATTGTTGGCAATCTTGAGGTGAAGTTGCAGCAGAATATACTCCAGGTCCGAAACTGTAAGAACAGGATCCTGTACGCCCCTTTGAATTGAGGATACCAATCCTTCCCTCTTTGCGTCCTCAATCGCCTGGCAAGATTGACCCAGCTCTTCATTCGCAGTGGCAGACCCTGGTGCATCCGCATCAGATGGACGATCCTTTTCTTCAGGATCTTGAACCATTACCACCTCTTCTTTTTTGGGACTCTGACTTTTCTCCCTCTTCTTTGTCTTTCCACCGACATTTGACTTTGTGCGCGTCTTCGAGGATTTTTCCACTGCAGAAGCCACCACATTGGATGTTGATCCACCCTTCTCAATGATCGTCGGCATCTTCTTCGGCTTTGGAACCATGAGAGTGTAAGGATCTTCAATAGCTGCAGCTTTCCTCTTCTTTTTTACCTTTTTCTTCTCTTCTTCAACGGCAACCTCCGTCTCCGAAGTCTCAACCACTCCTGTTTCGGCAGGAATATCCTTGCTGGACTCCCTTTCTAGGGATCTCTTTTACCTCTTTTGGGATCCTTTTCCTCTCCCAAATTGGCTCGCTCATACCATATCCTCAGGTCATTGACCCATTCTTCCACCTCCGCGAGCGAAACCTCATACGACTTCACTACTTCGAGAAGTTCCAGCACGGACAACATTTCAGTGGTCCACGAAACCCATACTTGATCCATTTGGTCAGCATCTCCAGTGAACTTCAGGAGTTTGAACAATGGGTCCGCCTCTGCTCGAGCCAAATCTGGCTTGCCACCGGAGAGAAATGAAATCGCCTCCATCAACAGTTCCGTCATCTTGGTCTCTTCGTCATAAACCATAAAATCCTCCTCATCATCATCGAACTGTTCAGGAGAGATCTCCTTTTCTCCACCATTTGCACCAGACTTTTTCCTTGGACCATCCCTTGGGGGCGTCCTTGGAGACCTTGGCCTCTGTTTTTCCAACGGAACACCATGCTCGAAGACACACCTGTCACCAAATCGACACTTCCCAGACCGAGCAAACTGGACGCACCTCACACCAGTTGCATCATGCGAGAACCCACAATCCTTTCCAGCGAAACATTCTCTCCCTGCCACATAGTATTTGCACCAATATGAATGTAGCACCACATCATCTTCGGAATGGATGAATTTGCAGTCGTCACCAAATTTGCAGCGCTCTTTCCCTTTGCCAAACCAATAGCAGAAACCCTTCTTCCTCTTCTCCAAGCGCTCTGCCTCATACCGGTCCATAGGGCGACTGTGCTCTACATGAACATTGCCATGTACCTGGGGACTGCTCCCTTCACCCGACGTGCTATCAGTATTTGGTGCTTGGAGTACAGTTGGAAAACCTGGCCTTGGTCCTACCACCTTCATGATCGGTTTTCCGCCAACTCCTGAGCCATGCTGAGACGATCCAAAAACATTGAACATCTTCATGAAGGCCTTTCTAGTGCCAATCTTCTGCACCCTTTTGATTGGACATTTCATTGCTCCAACCTTGCATCCAGATGCGTTCAAACGACACAACCTCCTATAACCAACTCTATGTCCCTTCTTCCAAAGAGCCATAAGAATTTTAGAGGCAGTAACATTCTCCACCTCTACCTTTTCCAATGGTCCCTCACTTCCCGGAACAATCCCATCCATATCTGAAGACCTTTCCATCTTTTTTGACACCA